ACTGCTGGCGTTGCAGCCCCCCACTGGGGTCCCCACTGCCAGTCAGTGGGTCAGTGTCAAAGGTCAAGCTGCATCTGGATCAGGAGGAAGGAGGAGAAGGTGAGGGATGCCGGGGCGGGGTAGGGGTGGGGCCCTGACGGTCAGGTAGTTCAGCAGCTCCTTGTTCCTGCTCCCCCTCTGCTGGTGTCTGAGGTAGGGATGGACCTAGACTAGGTCACTCTGGGTTGTACACCTGTTACTCCAGGGTGCTGCACAGTGACTCGGGACTCTGTTCTTCCTGTTTCCTTCATTTCTTCCATCTCCTCCTCCTCCTCCTCCTCCTCCTCCTCCTCCTCCTCCTCCTCCTCCTCCTCCTCCATTTCCTCTCCCTCCATCTCCTCATTCTTCTTTTTGTTTTGTTTTCCGAGACAGGATTTCTCTGTGTAGCTTTTGGAGTTTGTCCTGGAACTCACTCTGTAGACCAGACTAGCCTCGAACTCACAGAGATTCACCTGTTTCTGCCTCCCGAGTGCTGGGATTAAAGGTGTGCGCCACCACTGCCTGGCCTCCTCATTCTTATTCTCCATTCTTTCTCTGTCTTTCTTCTCCTCTTCTATCTCTTTCTATCTCCTCCATCCTCTCTCTCCTCTCTTGCTAACAGTATCTTGTGCCCTAATTCATGCCAATTACAGGTGTTCCCAGACCTGGACCCAAGTCTGCTGGGACAGACCCATCCAGTGTGAGAACCCTTGCTCATGGGTGGTTAACTGTGGAGTCCAAACTATGTGCCTTCCTCCCTGGGTGACTCGGCACAAATCATCTAGCTTCTCTGCATTCATTTTCTAGTCCCCTCCCTGAATGTGACCTCAGAAGTGGCCCCAGGTGACAGCACACATCAAGTGTGTGCAGCAGGGACCTGGGTGAATCCTGTGCCTCGTGTGGCCCATCACTGGAGGCAGAGGCCTGAGACTCCTCCACTGGTCCAGCCCAGCCCCCACTTTCTAATTAGATGGCAGGAGGGAGCTGGTAAGGGTGTCCAGAGCAGGGCCTCCCAAGACACAAGGTCCCTGCACCTATGGTCCCCAAGTCTCATTGCTGAATTTAAGTCCAGGCTCAAGATCTACTTTGTAAGGCCTTGAATGCCAAAGCATTGGGTGTCAGCCAGGACTGCTTGGGTGGGACGCAGGTCCTGTGTCTCTTACCTTCTACTGTGAGGCATCTGCAGATCACCCCCTTCCACACTGCTGTGTCTCCCCACCTGAACTCCCCAGCACAGGCAGCCTCGGTTTCTTCTGTGCCTCAGCCCTCTTCCCTCCTGCAGGCTCCCTCTGAGGTCCGAGGCAGAAAGTCGGACATGTAATGGCTGGGGCTTCCTACCCCTGGGAAGTAAGCCATCAGAACTCAGCAGCCTTGACCATGGCCCCAAGTTTTCGACCTTGTTCGCTGGTGGCTTTGCAGGCTGTGAAGGCGGCATGCTGATGGGCGGGAAGAAAGCGTAGGTGGCTGGGTTAAGTGGCTTGGCATTGACGTCGTTCCCAGCTGTGTAAACTCTTGAGCGGGATCTGCGGGGCAGGTTGGTGCAGGTGGAGGCCGTCACGTGTTTACTCCCCAGCCCCTCTCTGGGTCCCCATTTTGCATCGGGATAGCAGAGAGGCCAGTGGCGCTGTCAGGAGTAGCCCCAGGCCTCAGCCCTGCTGGAGTGCACGCTGAAAGGTTCTAAGACACACCCAAAGCTCCAGATGTCTTATTTCATGTCGTGTCTCCTGGAGTGGATCTCTGCAACCTGGGCCCTCTGCGGTGACTCAAGGCAAGAGGCCCTCCTTGGCCCTCTTCTGTACAGGTCTGATGGGACTCTAACAGGGCCTGAAGGGTCCCCTTCTGGGAACGCACAGGTCACAATTTGTGTTTCCTGCTTGAACATGGTTTGAACTGGGCTGGCCCAGTCTGGAGGTACTGGAGCCAGTCAGTGGCATTCCCCTGGCTCAGATTTCTGGCTTGCAGCCGGCAGCCTCTGCTTGTCACTACCCTTGGCTCCCAACTACCCTTAGGATGAATTGCAGCTCTGGGAATCCCTGGTTTCCTCTGGGATGTTTGACTTAGAGCCTTGGGGACAGCTGTGGCCGTGGTTTGCATCCTCAGAGCATCTCATGAGCAACTGCCATGGCAGTGCCCTCTGGGAGAGGGAGAACGCTCAGCTTCTTGTGTCTCCCTGCTAAGGATACTGAGCCAGGAGAGGTGAGCCTGCTTCTGGGGAGGATCCACTCCATCCCATCCAGGGTATCTGCCAGACTCGCCTTTCAGAGACTTCCCAAGCAGAAGCTGGTCACAGTGTGGCAGAGGAGCCTGGGATCAGGAGCTCCTATCCCCTGGCTCTGCCCCTGGCCTCAGTTTCTCTGCTGTACAATGGGCTCCTGTAAGTCAGAGTGAAATGGTGTTGACAGGGCTGACTCTCACAGTGACGTGACTGCTTCCTTCCTGCGCTTTTCAAAGCAGCCTGGGGCCTCACTCCTGTCCCCTGTGGGAGTCTTTTCTCTGATTTGTTTTTTCAGGTTTTTTCCTTTCCTTTATTATTGTCTGTGAGTGCATGTGTGGGTTTGCATGTCCTGAGGAAGCTCTGGAGGTCCTTTTGTGGGGTCATTTCTCTCTTTCCACTTTTAAGTGGTTCTGGGGTGGAAGTCAGGTCACAAATACTCACTGAGCCATCTTGCACACTTTTTTCTGGTTTGGGTTTTGAGACAGTGTCACCCTGTGACCTGGATGGAACTTGCCATCTTCCTGCCTTGGCCTTCTGGGCACTGGGGTCAAGGATGTGTGCTACCACCACTGCACTAGGCTCTGTGAGTCTCTTTGAGAGAGGGTCTCCCTGTGTAGCCCAGGCTGGCCTGGGACTCAGAGGTCTGCCTTCCTCTGCTGGGGTTAAAGGTGTGGCCAGCCCAGCCACTGTGGTCTCCTGTGATGAGGAGTTGGAACACAGCTCTGAAGGTCTGGCCCAGCTGTGCATGGCCCCTCCACCCTCCTTCTCCCCCAGACCTGACCCTTGTGTAGTGGTACTTTCGGTTCCCACTTCCTGCCGGTGTTGAGGCCAGGGAGGCACCGTCACAGGAGCTCCTGGAGCCCGCAGAGGGATCTCAGCCCCTGGAGCTCCCCTCAGCCACTCTGGCACACCCAGAACTGGGTCACTATGGCTGGGTGGTGTTTAGATTGCTTTAAAGCAAATATTTGCCTGGTTGGTCCAGGTCTGCTCAGACAGAGGCTGAGTCCAGTGGCTGTGAGGGGGAGGGAGCTGCTGGGAGGTGGCCAGTTCCAGCATGGACAAGAGGGACAGCAGGGTGGCCTGGAGGATTCTCACCTGCATGATGTCTGTGTGAAGGCCTCTGCAGGTGTCCCCTGTGCACAGTGACAGGGTTGATTTTTCATCTGGAAGCCTGAAGTCTTTGTTCATTGCCAATGATGCCCATGGGGTGCTGGGTCCCACAGCCGAGGAGGGGTACAGGTGGGACAGGCACTCATCAAGTGACCATGGTGAAAAGTACTTGAGGGGAAGGGACAGCCATGTGGAGAGGGAAGGACTGTTGCAGCCCTCTCAAGACGATGGCACAAGAAGTTTCCTAAGGACCTATTTCATACTTAGCTGAGATTAGTTTAGAAATTAGTCAACCTGCTGGGTAGTGGGGGTGCATGCCTTTAATCCCAGCACTCAGGAGGCAGAGGTAGGTGGATCTCTGTAAGTTAGAGGCCAGCATGGGCTACAGAGCAAGTTCCAGGACAGCTATGACTGTGACACAGAGAAACCCTGTCTTGAAAAACAAAACAAAACAAGAAGTTAGTCAACCTAAGATGAAAAACTACATCCTGGAAAGGATGACATGTACCTGGCACAGATGCAATGAGGTCGCCCTGTTTGAGGATCCGAGTAAGGACTGGTTTCTCTAGGACACAGTTATGAAGAGGGGGGTGTTCAAAAGTCTGGAAGGTGTAGGAGCGGGTCCTTGAACACCAGAAAACATTGGATTTTTGTTGTGTGCTTCTTAGAGCCCTGAGTTCCTGTTAGTCTAGCTAGCATCTACCACTGAGCCACACCCTCAGCCCCTCACTGGGCATTCTAGGCGGGGCTCCACCCTGACCACGCCCCTACCCCCTCACTGGGGGATTTAGGCGGGGGCTCCACCCCTGGTCACGCCCTCAGCCCCTCACTGGGGGATTCTAGGTGGGGCTCCACCCCTGGCCATGCCCTCAGCCCCTCACTGGGGGATTCTAGGCGGGGCTCCACCCTGACCATGCCCCCACCCCCTCACTGGGGGGATTCTAGGCGGGGCTCCACCCCTGGCCATGCCCTCAGCCCCTCACTGGGGGATTCTAGGCGGGGCTCCACCCTGACCATGCCCCCACCCCCTCACTGGGGGGATTCTAGGCGGGGCTCCACCCCTGGCCATGCCCTCAGCCCCTCACTGGAGATTCTAGGTGGGGCTTTACCCCTGGGTCACTCCCAACTAAGGCATGGACAACCAGGACGAGTTTCAGTGGTATGGATCCAGGTGGAGTCCCTAACTCAGCAGAGCCTTGGTTCTCATGAGAATAGCATGAACAAATTGCAATAACTTGAGAGACACTTGGGTGACAGGGTGGCTGCCCAGAATGACCATCTGGAAGCATCCATGGTGAGGACAGCTTGTCAGGAAGATACCCTCTCTCATGCACATCTCTCTCCACAGCTTCTCACTGCCGTCACAGGAGCCCCAAAGGATGTCCAGCGGGGTCTCCCCAGCCGAGCAGGTGGCGGCAGGCGACATGGATGACACAGCAGCACGCTTCTGTGTGCAGAAGCACTCCTGGGACGGGCTGCGCAGCATCATCCACGGCAGCCGCAAGTCATCGGGCCTCATTATCAGCAAGGCCCCCCACGACTTCCAGTTTGTGCAGAAGCCTGATGAGTCTGGCCCCCACTCCCACCGTCTCTACTACCTGGGTAAGCTGCTCCCGCCCCCTCTGCCCTACACTGGCAGGCCTGGGGTGCCAGAGGTTTCAGAAGCGACCAGCCTGGGGCAGGCAGTGTTAGTCCACCTCCAGGGTCAGCCACATAGGTGAAAGTTCAGGGTTGGCTAGGTGGCTCTGAGTCTAGAAACTGCTCCCAGCTGGGCCACTTCCCAGGCACCTGGTGCTGGCTGGGCAGGGCTTCTTAGGTAAACAGGATGGGTCTCAGATCCCTGTGGGAGGGTCACATGCTGTTCCAGTAGGAGCTCACTGTGTGGTGATGTGTTATGACGGATTCTGAGGCTCAAAGATTGGCACCATCTCTGTGTAGTGCGCCGTGGTCCAGCAATGGAGCGTGGCTCACCATCCTGCCACAGGACCCCGAGGCACCTGCTCCCTGCCCAGCTGTTGGCAGGCTGTGTTCTCACTGGATCGCCAGTGTGACCCCCTCAGGCTTTCCATAGCTTCTGCAGACAGGCATGCGCCCAGCCCCAGCTCATGGACAGGAAGTGCCTCCTCCCAGCTCCAGCCATAGACAGGAAGTGTCCACAGAGCACAGACACTGCCCTAGTGGGCCTAAAGGGAATACAGAGCGGAAGAAAGAACCCCCTAGAAATCAGTTAGGCTTGTTGGCTTGCAAACAGCGTGCCTCCTGGCTGTTGACTGGAGGTATGGCACCCTTGCACTGTGGATGCCAGCTGGGTCATTTGTGGGTACCCTAGGCTTTGTGCAAGCCCGCTCTGTGGTGGGCTCCCCTGTGTCACATCCTCAGACATTGCCCAGGATTCCTGGGGCTGGTGTCCCCTCCAGTTGAGAAACACTCTTTAGAACAGGTGACTCTGGTCATCCTCCAAGCCAGTCTTGTTGCTGCTGGTCATGGTGGCCTTGGTCCCCGCGACCATGTCTGTGCATGTTTGGGCCCTCAGCATTTAAATGCATGATCGAATGAACATTGTCACATGTCCACTGCTGACCATACATGGATGACAGGAGCCAAGATGGACAGTGGGTGGCCATCCTCTTCCCACTGTCCCCATACTTCCCTTCAGAGCTGTCTTAGGAGGAAGTCACATGGATTGTTGCAAATCATGAAACTGCAAATGCAGTGATTGAGAACAGGCCAGCAGATGTTGCCAGACTGCCTAGCAACAGTGTGGCAGCTGTGAGTCACAGCAGCATGACACGGCAACACTCCCATGGAGGAGAACAGGACCAGAGACGCTGTTAAGTGTCTTCACCACAGCTGAGCCGGGAGGACTCAGGTCCATCAGCAGGCAGCACCTCCTCTGCTTGAGGTCCTGGGCCCCACCTTTCAGTGGTGGCTCCGCCCACTTGGTGCCTAGTCTGTCATTGGTGAGTTAGCCCCAGCCTACACCTGCTGAAGGGAGGATGGCAGCCGGACTGTATTCCTCCTGGAGCTCTGGGCAGGACCTTCCTGCCTCTTCCAGCTTGTGAAGTGTACAGCATCTGTCTATCGGCTTCTGGCCCAGTCTCTCCCAGCTCTGCCTCCGTGATCACATGACTTACTTGTCTGTGTGAGATCTCCCTTCACCTCGGTCTTCTGAGGATGCTGGTAGCTGTAGAACATGAATACAGCCACAGCTCCAGAGCCCTGTCTCAATGAAGACAGTGACTTTTGAATTCAGGCCCCAGGACACAGCTGTCTCTCTTTCTCTGGGGACCTCTCAGCCTCCCAGGACCTTGGGAAAGGACAGAACCCTCAGGTCTCAGCCACAAAGTGTACCTGGCACCGGGAACCTGGGGATGGCTCAGAGAGCCAGGACAGAAAGCCACCAAGCTTCAGGATGAGGCGCATGCAACCTAGAGCCTCATGATACCATGACTCCAGTCCACCTCTGCCAGGTAGCACCTCAGATCTCCTGTCTTCCCGCCCGCAGCAGAAATTGACCCTTGGCTCCAGGTTCCTGGGAGAAGGGAACTGATTGGCTCAGCCTGGGTTCCATGAACCCTTCACCCTGGCGTCTGTGTGCTTGGACTAGGGTTGCAAATTCTCAACCCACTTTCTCCAGATCTCTGGGAGGAGCTTGTGCCTTGTAGGCTTGACCATGTGGGTTGGGGTGGGCGGGCCCTCGAGCTTACAGGGTTTCTGGAGAAGGAATGTGATTGGCTTAGCTAGACTACTCAGTCATCTACTTGTCTAGCCTGGGTGGGCGGTGCCTCTTGAGGTCTCAGGGTTTCTAGGAGAAAGAATGAGATTGGCCCAGGTGGTGGTCATTCACATGTGGCCTCTGTGTGTGTGGGTCTGTGTGGGTCTGGGCTGGGGTGCACTGTCCTCAGGGTTCTGCTCAGGGTGATGGGGGTCTTCGTGGGACTGGAGGGCCACAGATGGGTATGTAGTGAAGACAGACCCTGAACACAGGCGGAGGAGTCCAGAACTCTGGACATGGCTGCTTTTTTCCCGCCAACCCTGAGGTGTCACTGACTGCTGTCTGCCTTCGGGTCCCCTCCTGGTCCCTCGGAGGCCTTTATACCGTGTCTTTGTGCCAGGTGTCACCAGGATTAGATGGTGCATGGCGGAGTCCCTGGCTGGTGCTCCCCTGTTGCCCTGAGGGTGTGGCCTGACCCAGCCACTCAAAAGGACCTCCGTGTCCTCATGGACTGAGGTTTGCTATGTGGGGCATGGGGAGTCAGTCGTGGGTCCTCTGTGAGGGATGGGGTGAGCCTGGGGGGACCTGCTGGCCCTGGCTGTCAGCCCATTCCGTTGTCAGCAGCACCTCTGTCGGGGTGGGGAGGCCTCAGGGCCTAGAGAGACCTGAACTCTTGGCTCCTGTCTTGGGTTCAAGATACAATGAACACTGTAGTCCAGTTTGGTCCCTGCCAGGCTGGCCAAGGCCACATTGGTGACTAGAGTCAGTGTGGGTGTGGGCCCAGGGCACCCACCATGTCTAGGGCTGGGCAGGGTGACCAGTTGAAGTGGGCACGTGCACATATGTGCGTGCGTGCATATGAGTGTGTATGTACATGTGTGTGCACACGTGCGCGCAGAGCCGCTAAGGTAGGTGAGGCGGCTGTGCCACCAGTTAGCTCCACCCTTGCCGTCATTGCCAGGCATCGTGGGCTGCGGTGCCAGCACTGGAGGCCAGTCCAGGAATGCACTGGCCCGAGCGTTGGTGTGATTGGTTGTTAATCGGCTGAGGAGGGTGGTGGCTTTGATGTCCTTGGCACAGACTTGCCTTAGACTTCCTGTTCAGAAGCCCCGAGGATAGCGGGCCACTGCTGGGGAGCAGCTACCCCACAGGCCCAGTGTGGGCCTTTCAGTGGGACTGAGGGACAAGTCTCACCTCAGAGTGTCTCGCTCCCTCCATTTCTTAGTTGTTCGTGTGTGGGAGGTCAATAGGCCATGGCATCTGAGTGGAGGTCAGAGGTTTGTTACTCTCCCACATCCTGTGGGTTCCAGGGCTAAGACCCAGGTCATCAGTCTTGGTGGCAAGTCCCTGTACCCACTGGGCGTCTCACTGGCTGTGTCACACTCTTAAAGGTGTGAGGTCCAGTAGCGCACGTCTTTAGTCCCTCCACTCAGGATTGGCAGGTGGATCTCTGAGTTGAAGGGCAGTCTGAGCAACATAGCAAGTTCCAGAACAGCCCGGGCTACACAGTGACCCTGTCTCAGAAAACCAAACAGTCCCGGCAGCTGCAGAAGTGGAGTAAGGCAGAGGTCACACGTCCTGCAAGTCACCACATTCCTGGGCTACCAAGCACTCTGCGTGTTCTTGGACTGCTCTGCACTCAGAGGAGCACCAGCCCTGGTCCCCAGCCTTCTTGACCAGAGAGGGGAAGTTGAGGCATGCTGGAGCTGGTCACTGTCTTCTACTTGACTGACAGTGACAGTGATGCTGCATTCCATGCGGTAGCCCTGTGTTGAGACCTCGGCTTCCCCATCTGCGGAGGACGCACTTGTCACTTGTCATCCCAGCACTTGGGAAGTGAAGTCTGGAAGAACAGGAATGATTCAGGGTTATCCTTGGCTACAGGACTATAGGACACTCTCACGCAGAGGGCATGCACATGTGCAGCTACCACCGGACTGTGGAGTAAGAGGGGCTGGCTCATGCTCACAGCCTGGGGCCGAGCCCCAGCCATGCTGGGCGACCACTGCAGAGTTCGATAGCTTCATAGCTTCTGTGACACCCATCCAGCCTCGGAGACTCGGAGTGCTGCCACCTGGGGAAACAGAGAGGGCTTGCGACACCCCAGGTTTCCTGTCCCCAGCTCATTGCACACTTTCCCTCAGTGACTCATGTCTTTCCATCAGGGCCCAAGTCCAGTTGTCCTCACAGGTGACACTCCACAGTCCGGTGGTAGCTGCACATGTGCATGCCCTCTGCGTGGGGTTGGAACTGCCCCGTCCAGGCTGGAGTGGGTGGAGCCATGGCTTCAGCAGGAGGGCACACTCCCTGAAAGCCACCTGCCGTGAGCATCGTGGGACCTTCCGAGGCACGCACGCACGCACGCACGCACGCACGCACTCCTCCTTCTCCCTAAGGTTTAGCCTTACTCTCACCTGAGACTGGTTTAGTCCTTAGTCTTTGCCAGCTTCTCTCATACAGAGGAACCTTCTAGAGTAGTGGTTCTCCACTTGTGGGTCAGGACCCACACAGGGGTCACATATCAGAGATCCTGCATATCAGATATTTATGTTGGGCCGGGCGGTGGTGGCCCACGCTTTTAATCCCAGCACTCAGGAGGCAGAGCCAGGCGAATCTAAGTGAGTTCCAGGACAGACTCCAAAGCTATACAGAGAAACAAAACCAAAAACAAACAAACAAAAACCCAGATATTTACATGGATTCATAACAGCAGCAAAATTACAGTTATGAAGTAGTTTCATGGTTGGGGTCACCACAGCATGAGGGACTGTGTGGAAGGGTCGCAGCGTCGGGAAGGTTGAGAACCGCTGCTCTAGAGCCACACCTGACTGCAGGAGAGCTGAGCTCTCCCACTGCCCTCTCTGACCCCCAGTGGCTGCTGCAGCCCCGGGGCCTGAATCTCAGGGTGGGAGAGCCTGAACAAGCCCGACCGTGGGGACCAGGGCGATGGCTCCGTGGATGAAGCGCTGGCTGCACAAGTGTGAGGACCTGAGTTCAAATCCCCGGAACCCATGTCAAAGCCAGGTGTGCTGACCGCACTGTCACCTGGTTCTGCTGCCACTCAGGGGGACAGGAAGAGATCTGGGGCTTCCTGGCCAGCCAGCCGAGTCAGTGAGAGACCATGTCTCAGAAAAGATAGTGGTCATCCCGGCACTCAGGAGGCAGAGGCCGGTGGATCCCTGTCCATCCAAGGCAGAGAGAGAGGAGGGACCCCTGGTGTCCACTTCTGGCTTCCACGTGCACATAGTGACGAACACGGGGCTCCAACTAGAGACGGAGCCACGGCCTGACACCCTCCCAGGTAGGGCCTCCACTCTTGAGGTTTCTCTGACCCCTTCCCAGGAATGCCATACGGCAGCCGCGAGAACTCCCTCCTCTACTCCGAGATCCCCAAGAAGGTGCGGAAGGAGGCCCTGCTGCTGCTGTCCTGGAAGCAGATGCTGGACCACTTCCAGGTGAGTCTCCCATGCCACACCCGGCTTCCGGGAACAGAGTTCTGACTGACGGGGCACCAATCAGACCATGTCCCCCTCCTGTCTGCACCTTCAAATGACAACTGACTCATGGGCCTGGCTAATGGTTAATATCGCTGCCCAGAGTTGCCTGGTGAAGGGGACACCCTGGCATGGCTGCACTTTGTGGCTTTTGTGGCAAGCACTCGCCCAGCATGTGCAGAGGCCCTGGCATCCACTCGGAGAGAACAGTAACACTGTCACAGTGGCATGCCCGAGCCCCCCGTCTTGCCACTCCCAGTTTGGTGGCCCCTCTTAGTTCCCGGGTAGCCTTCTGCATAGCACAGTGCTGGGAATGGAACCCAGGCTTTCACACCCGCCTCGTCCATACCCTAGCTCCGAGCTACACCCCAGCCCAGTTCTGAGGTAAGTGCATGGAGCGCTCAACCGGCACACAGGAAGCCCTGGATTCCACCTTGTCACTGTCACATAGAAGCCGGGTGTGGTGGTGCACGCCTGTCAGGGTTGTTCTCTGCCAAGTAGCGAATTCCATGCTAGCCTGGGCCATAGGAGTCCCTGTCTCAAACAGACAGACCCACTCTGTGCCCCTACACTTCTGTCCGGCTAGCTTTGGTCAGAGAAACCTTGGGCGTGTTGTATAGGTACAGCTGTAGATTTAGGTGGAGTGTTCTCAGAAGCAAGGGCTATGAATGAGGTGGGAGAGGTCCACCAGAGGTCCCCACAGGGACATCCAGAATGGAGTCCGGCAGCAAGGGCAAGGCCAGGTGTCACCACGGGTACTCAGGATGGGGATATGGGAACACCGTGAGTTTCCAGCCAGCATGAGATGCTCTGTGTCACAATGGGGAAACTGAGTGAGGCCCTATCCCCTGTGTCCCAGGCCACACCCCACCACGGTGTCTACTCTCGAGAAGAGGAGCTACTGCGGGAGCGCAGGCGCCTGGGCGTCTTCGGGATCACCTCTTACGACTTCCACAGTGAGAGTGGGCTCTTCCTCTTCCAGGCCAGCAACAGCCTCTTCCACTGCAGGGACGGCGGCAAGAACGGCTTCATGGTGAGGCACAGCCTGCATGCTCGGGTGGGGACACGGTGCCAGCGCCCTGACCCAACCTCCCTGTCCCCAGGTGTCCCCTATGAAGCCGCTGGAGATCAAGACCCAGTGCTCCGGGCCACGTATGGACCCCAAGATCTGCCCCGCAGACCCAGCCTTCTTCTCCTTTATCAACAACAGTGACCTGTGGGTGGCCAACATCGAGACCGGAGAGGAACGGCGACTAACCTTCTGTCACCAGGGTGAGGCTTAGGCATGAATGGGGACAGGCAGTCTGCCTGGCTGCATCAGCATGTTCTGGGAATGGCTATTGTACTGCCAGCCCGTCTTCTAGAATGTTCACCTGCTGCTCAGTGATGCACAGTACCCAGGACACCCAGCCCTTAAAAGCCAGCTGCACAGTGTCCAGCCTGTATAGCGTTGGGCGCTGTGTAGCGTTGGGCGCTGAGCTCCTGACTCACAGTGGCTGTCAGGAGGCTGTCTGTCACTCACAATGTGCCCTCCCCCAGGCTCAGCCAATGTCCTGGACGATCCCAAGTCTGCAGGTGTGGCCACCTTTGTCATCCAGGAGGAGTTTGACCGCTTCACCGGGTGCTGGTGGTGCCCCACTGCCTCTTGGGAAGGTAGGCAGCCCACCTCTCAGTACCCTACTCCAACCCAGGGCCTTATGTCTCCGTCTCTGCTAAATCAGCCCCTGTGGTCCCAGGACCAACACCTAGGGACCTATTAAATACTCACAGCAGGGTCTGCACAGGAGAGGGAGATGACGAAGGCCTTGCCTCACCTGGGCCCTCTATTCCTATAACCACATTTCTGGAGACAGGAGAACACTGGGCGACCCATAGATATCAGAACCACATCCCCAACCCCTCACTGGGGGATTCTAAGGAGGGGCTCCACCCCGGCTTACCTCAGCCCCTCTAGATGGGGACTCCACCTCTGACCACTCCCCCAGCCCCTCACTGGGGGATTCTAGGCAGGGCCTCCACCCTTGACCACGCTCCAGCCCCTCTAGGTGGAGACTCCACCCCGACCATGCCCCCAGGCCCTCACTGGAGGATTCTAGGTGGGGCTCCATCCTGACCACGCCCCCAGGCCCTCACTGGAGGATTCTAGGTGGGGCTCCATCCTGACCACGCCCCCAGCCCCTCACTGGGAGGTTCTAGGCGGGGCTCCACCCTGACCACGCCCAGAGCCCCTCACTGGGGGATTCTAGGCGGGGCTCCACCCTGACCACGCCCCCAGCCCCTCACTGTGGTGTTTTGCGCTTCTAGGGCATGTGAGTGTGTGTTTAGGTTACATGACAAAATCGCCCTGACTGAGTTGGCATAGACAAGAGAAATGTGTGGCCCCACACTGGCCTCTGTGGTCTGGGGTGCACTATGACAAAGCTGACTTTCTAAGGCTCTGACATACTCCCCATGTCCTCCATTGTCCCATGTGTCTGTGAGTACTCCTGTCATACTGGCCCAGGGTCCCCCGACCTCCCTCGCAGATGCTGCACAAAGGCCTTAGACTAGAGCTTGAGCACGTGGTTTCGGGGCCCAGCTTGACTCTACACCCCACGTAGGTGCCACTTGGTGCTGGCTCTGAGATCCTGTGTGGTGTGGGTGGGTGCTGAGTCCCTGCTCCTTGCCCCTGACCAGGTTCTGAAGGCCTTAAGACGCTGCGTATCCTGTATGAAGAAGTGGATGAGTCTGAGGTGGAGGTCATCCATGTGCCCTCCCCTGCCCTGGAGGAGAGGAAGACTGATTCCTATCGATACCCCAGGACAGGTGGGTGCCAGCGGCAAGGCCACATGCTGCCCTAAGGCCTCTGCACCACAGCTGGCACAGTTCTGCCCTCTGGGGTCCCCTCTGCCTGGATTTGTTGGATCTCATGGTCACAGAGCTCAGAGGTCACAGATTCTCCAGGTAGATCCAGAAAGTGAGTGTGGCGGCATGTTCCAACTGCCTGATGCCACATCTCAGGTGTCTCCACACCAGGACAGCCACAGGCAAGCGACTGAGCCTCATGGAAGATGCTAAAGTGTAGTGGTGTCTTTGAGGCAGAAGATTCATGAATTCAGGCCGGCCTGGGCTACATAGTGAACACCTGTCAAAAAATAAGTGGATGGCCTGCTTCTTTGGTGTCTCAGGGTGTTAGAAGCCTTGAGCTAGCGGCAGCCCTGGCCAGCCTAGTTGAACCTCAGGCCTGCTACCTGCGCCGCTGTGGGAGTCACTTTTACTGAGGGTCAATGGGGATAGAATTCCCTGGTGTGCACAGAGTCCCAGGCTCCATCCCCAGCACCACAAACTGGGTGTGGTGGGGCATGCTTGTTATTGCAGCTGGAGGCAGGAGGATCAGGAGTTCAAGGTCAAGCCTCAGCTTTGTAGAAGGTTCTGGGCCAGCCTGGAATACATGAGACCCTATTCCAAAAAACCAAATAAATGAAATAGACTGCTTGCCATTCCAGACACACAGTGAGCCTTCCCAGATGCTGTGTGGATGGAACCTAGGCTTTCCACGGAACATTGTGGGATGATCCACATTTACCCTGTGCTTAGCAGATGTGGAAACTGAGCCTCAGGCAAGGTGGAGGCGTTTGTCAGGTGCCCCATGTTACCCTCTGCTGGGGCCTAACTGTCTTCCAGAGAAATCCCAGGATCTGTCCCCAGCACCCTAAGAAAACAGCCCCAGCCACATCCCACCTCTTAGAAGTGTGGGTGACTGCCCCAGCCTGTGGCCACTGCCTCCCAAGGGCTGGGTCTGGCTTTGTGTGGTGATGTGCCCTGTTTCAGTCTCCTGCTAAGGGACTGCACAGAGGTAGGGCAGGGCCATGTCCCTTCTGTGTTGTGTCCCCAGTCCAGCTTCCAGGTGACAAAATAATACACCGCATATCCTGTTAGGAATGTGGTCCAGGCCCTGGGTCAGATTGTCCCTGCCCTGGGGACTTTGTGTCATTCCTGGGAGGGCCTGTGCCACCTCCCCACAGGTGTGGTCACACAGTCTTTGGCCAGGGTGGCCACTGGTGACCTGGCACTCATCTGGCCTTCCCCCAACAGGCAGCAAGAACCCCAAGATCGCCCTGAAACTGGCTGAGCTCCAGACGGATGGACAGGGCAAGGTAAGAGCCGAGCACATTCTGGGGAAGCTCCAGAAGGACGGTCAGTCTACTCTCTGTGAAGCATGGTGCCGCCAAGTGGCCTGACCTATATCCTGTGGTGATCACAGACCAGAACACTGTGGGTCAGATTGCCAGGGTGCCAGTCCTCGGTCACTGCATTGAGGTCATCTCCTGTTGGGTGTGGCAGTGTTCTGGGTCCTTCTCTGTCCCCTGCTCCTTGGCATTGCTCACTTAGAGGCGCTGAGTAGGGCCTCACAACCCAGACCACGTGCTAAGCAGCGAGGGCAATATGGCCACTGGTAAGAGGTCTTTAGTGAGTGCATTCACCTGCCTCTGGCAGGCCCGTCCTTCCTTTCACGGTGCCATGCCTTTCCCGTCAGATCCCTCAGGTCACCAAGGGTGCGTGACATTGAAAGTTCCTCAGGCAACCTGGGCCCAAGGCTGTGTGGCACTTGCTGATGGGGACACCAGGCAGGCAGGGCTTGTGTAGCTGCAGATTCCTGGCCGCAGGGATTTGGTCCTTACATTGGCTTGTGTGCACAAACGTCAGAGGACGGCTTGTGAGGGTCAGCTCTCTCCCTCCGCCATGTGGTTTCTAGCGGTCAAGCTCAGGTCGTAGGCTTGGTGACATCACCCCTTCCTGCAGGCCCCCAGCAAGCTTTTGCAAAAACTTTCATAACATCCAGGGAAAGTATAAGACTCTGTGTCTTGGCTATTTACACGTCTTTTCTTTATGCATATTAGACCCTTACTCACCAAGTCCCTTGTACAGTCTTTTTAGAACACTGCAGTAATGCACCAGCATTACCCGTGATATGGGCCACCACCCACTAGGCTGTAGGGTTTGTTGTTGTTTTGTTTTATTTTAATGTGTATAAGTGCAGTTCCCACAGAAGCCAGAAGAGGGTGACAGATCCCCTGGAGTTGGAGTTACAGGTGGACATGAGCTGCCCTGTGGGTGCTGGGAACCCAACTCGGACCTGGAAATGTATAGTAAGGGCTCAGCTGCTGCCTCATCCTCGGCCAGAGCCAGGCCTCTGTCATAAACAGGCTCCTGAACTGGGCAAGGGCTGCAGCTCCTGAACAGGCGTGGGCTGATGATTCTGCCAGGGTGGCCACCCCTGACCCTGCCTCCTTTTCTCCCCATCATCCCCTTGCTCAGCTGGCTCAAGACCCCTCCAAGTCCAGGGATGACCCAGGGCAGAAATAGGTAGTTCCAGAGACATCTGGACGTGCCAGGGAACACAGTGTGCTGCTGTCTTTCCATCTTCCTGTCCATCATCCCGTGTGTGTCCGTTCCCCTCCTTCCCCCACTCCACCCCTGTGGAAGGAGATGTTACCACTGCAGAGAGCCGTGGCTTTGTGGCTTTGACAGCAGAGGTGCTTTGTCAGCAGCCATGGGGGGAGGGGTGTCCCGGGGGGAGGGGTGTCCCAGAAAGGGCGTCAGTAGGGCTGGTTTCCTCCGAGGGCTGGACAGGGTCTGTCCCAGCAACTCAGGTGTGTAAGCATTGGGGCTTGGATGGAAAGGGATGCTGGTAATCGGGAGCCAAAGAATACCGCAGGTCACAGTAAGCGTAGCATCTTACAGGCCTGCTCCAGGGAAAGGTTTCCCTGGTGTAACAGCTCTGCTCCAGCAGGGGAGAGTTTCCCTAGCAAAGTTGTTGGAGTTCTGCTCCGGTGTAACAACTCGGCTGCACTAGGGCATGGTTTCCCCAGCCAAAGTGTTATAGCTTTGCTCCTCTCCACTCTGCCCAGGCTCTGTCTCTGCTCCTGCGAAAGAAGGACTCACCCAAACCTCATTCAAGAGAGTTATTGGGAGGGAAGAATCCAGGAGAGTGGCTGCCTCTGCCAGGGTGGGGAAAGGGCAGCAGCAAACTGAACAGGCACAGAACAACTTATATAGGACTTCTTAGGGGCGGAGTTTTTCCAGGGAGAAGATTTCCAGGGTGGGAATTGGCCAGAATTAAGTCCTTGAGCTCAGATTGGCTAAATCTTGTGCTCAGGGATTGTTTTTTTTTGTTTGTTTGTTTTTTTGTTTTTTGTTTTTTTTTTTTTGGTTTTTCGAGACAGGGTTTCTATGTGTAGCTTTGTGCCTTTCCTGGGACTCACTTGGTAGCCCAGGCTGGCCTCGAACTCACAGAGATCCGCCTGGCTCTGCCTGCCGAGTGCTGGGATTAAAGGCATGCGCCACCACCGCCCGGCAGGGATTGTTTTTTTTTTGCTCAGGGATTGGTTGGTTTTCTGCTTAGATGGTCAGGCAGATTTGGCTCTGATTTCAGAGCCAAAGTGTGTTTCTTTCATTGGCTCTTTTTAGCCTTTTGGCTCTAATTTTAGGGCCAGGGTGTATTTCTTTCGCTGCCTCTGATTCTAGGGCACTGGTTTCAGGGTCAGGGTGTATTTCATTGGTGCTGGGTTCAGGGACAAAGTGTTTCTTTCACTGGCTCTGGTTTCAGGGCCACGGTGGGATTCTTTGTTTGGTTCCCTTTACCCTACAAGGTGATCACATGTCCCGAGTCTCCAGTGGACATCATGCTAGTGTGTATGTGTGTGTATGTGTCTGTCTGTCTGTCTCCCTGCATCTCTTCCTTGTATGATATAACATGTTGGATTAGGGTCCCACCCATTGTGACTTCCACCTCACCTAAATACCTTAGAGGGCTATGTGCATGGCTGCCTTCCTTTCTTTTCTTTTTCTTTCTTTTTTTTTTAAAGATTTATTTATTATGTATACAGTGTTCTGTCTGCATGTATACCTGCTGACTAGAAGAGGGCGCCAGATCTCATTACAGATGGTTATGAGCCACCATGTGGTTTCTAGAAATTGAACTCAGGACCTTTGGAAGAGCAGCCAGTGCTCTAACCGCTGAGCCATCTCTCCAGCCCCCTTCTTTCCTTTCTTAAGATTTATTTATTTGCCGGATGGTGGTGGCATACGCCTTTAATCCCAGCACTCAAGAGACAGAGCCAGGCGGAGCTCTGTGAGTTTGAGGCCAGTCTGGTCTATAGAGCGAGATCCAGGACAGGCACCAAAACTACACAGAGAAAAAAAATTTTATTTTTATTTTTTTGAGATAAAGTCTCTCTTTATCATCCTGGCTATCCTAGAACTCCCTCTGTAGACCAGGCTGGCCTTGAACTCACAGAGATCCACCTGCCTCTGCCTCCCAAGTGCTAGGATTAAACACCATGTCCTGCTATTTATTTATTTTTGGTGTATGAGTGTTTGTCTGCCTTTATGTATGTGCACTGTGTGCGTGCAGTGCTCATTGAGGCCAGAAGAGGGTGCTGGAGCTCCTGAAACGAGTTCTAGCCTGTTGGATACCATGTGGGTGTTGAGTGTTGAACCATCAGGACACTGGAGATCAGGGAGGCTGTGGCATTGTGCGTGATGTGGCCCTGTCTCCCCAGATTGTGTCCAGCTGCGAGAAGGAACTGGTACAGCCATTCAGCTCCCTCTTCCCCAAGGTGGAGTACATCGCGCGGGCTGGCTGGACACGGGATGGCAGATAGTGAGTGTCCTGGGGATGGGCAGGTACCCGGGACCACTTGGGGGCCCACCAGGGTGGAGCTCGGTGCCCTGCACCCATGCCTTTTCCCTTAGGGTCCCTCCCAGCCTCAGTCAGCAGATCTGCAAAGCTGGGAACTTGGACATCAGGTCATTTTGACCAAAGTCCTAAGAGTGGGGCAGTCCCAGGTGGCCCAGAGTAGAAGGAACACCAGGACCCAGACAGGACACAGGAATGCCTCCAGGTCTCTCGGAGTCCTGTGCTTTTTCCATAGTTGGGACAGAATGCAGAAACAGACAGTCTTGCTCACCACTTCCTCCCTCCTCATCTTCCTTTCCTCTTCCTGTGCAGCCCGGGCTGACCTAGAACTTTGAAGCCCAGGATAAGCCTAAACTCCTAATGCTCCCACCTCTACCTCCTACTGCTGTGATGACAGGTGTATGGCCATGCCTGGCAAAACCATTTCAAAATAAAAAACTTGAAAAGGCCTGGGGTTGCAGAGCGGTCTAGCATGCACAAGGCCCCAGGTTCGTGCCCAGCACGAGACTAGAACATTGTCCATTTAGTTAATGTTGGTCATGATGGTCCACAGCTGCCATTCCACCTCTCCGACAGTGGAGGCAGGAGGATCAAGTGCTCAAGGTCACCAGGCAGTGGCGCACGCCTTTAGTCCCAGCACTCGGGAGGCAGAGGCAGGCAGATCTTTGTGAGTTCGAGGCCAGCCTATGAAGTGAGTTCCATGACAGGCACCAAAACTACACAGAGAAACCTTGTCTCAAAAAGCAAACAAACAAAGAGTTCAAGGTCATCCTCAGCTACACAAGACCCTAGCTTCAAAAAAAGGGGGGGGGTCATTTGACCCCCCCCCCAAAAAAAAAGCCACCTGTCCAATTTGAGAATACTGTCCCAGGATTGTGTGGATTGTGTGACTGGAGCCTTACCTGATCTGTATGGAGATGGTGCACCAGTTAGAGCTCCTCCACACCCTGACTCCAGCAAGGTTAGCCAGGGAATGGCCCTGCGTGGCCCTGTGCCCTGCTGTCCGCTGCCAGCCACTGAGCCCTCCTGCTGCCTCCCTCTCGTCCTTCCAGTGCCTGGGCCATGTTCCTGGACCGTCCCCAGCAGCGGCTCCAGCTTGTCCTCCTGCCACCAGCCCTTTTCATCCCGTCCCCCGAGAACGAGGCCCAGCGGCAGGCAGCTGCCAGAGCCGTCCCCAAGAACGTGCAACCCTTCGTCATTTACGAAGAAGTCACCAATGTCTGGATCAACGTGAGCAGGAGCCCAGGGTGCCCACCGTTCCCACACCCTGGTCCCCAGTGGGACACTGGGCTGGCCTCAGGGGTCTGTCCAGCCTCAGAATTCTCTGACCCAACTGTCTCTCCTGCAGGTCCATGACATCTTCCACCCGTTCCCGCAGGCCGAGGGCCAGCAGGATTTCTGCTTCATCCGTGCCAACGAGTGTAAGACTGGCTTCTGCCACTTGTACAAGGTCACCGTGGACCTTAAAACCAGTGACTACGACTGGACGGAACCCCTCAGCCCCACAGAAGGTGAGCAGAGCATCAGTCACACGGGGGGCGGGGTAGGGAAGAGCGGCCACCTCCCGGCCTGCCCTGGTTCCGTTGGCAGCAGTCAGCTGGGTGTCTGTTGATGGACCAGGTGGGGTTTCCTAACTGCCCGTGCACGGGGCTTTGATGCCCCCAGGGCGTTAGAGTTTGGCCACTGCTGTGTGCCAGCTGCGTCTGTTTGACTGGTCATTTTCCTGGTGTATGGCCACACCTGCTGGTTTCTAGTTTGCCTGTTGCCCATGTTTGTGTCCCAGCCTCAGCCATATGCCTCTGAGTCTCAGACTCTCTGCGCCTTGACCAGAGTGGCTCCAGGGGCCATGGTGAACAGTGGTGCACACCAGGGACCCCAGACTCCCTGGGCTGAGGCTGGAGGGGCAAGGCCTGTCTGAGCAGTCAAGCCAAGTGTGTTCTCCCGAAAGACTCTGGTGGGACAGGCGGTAATGCGAGAGTGATGATAGATGGCGTCTCTGGCCTTGGGGCACGCAGAGAAGGTAAATGTGGCAGAGAAGGAGGAGAATGAGGAACACTGTCCTAAATGTGAGTCCGTGTCTCGGGTGACATGCCGCTGTGGAGATCTGACAGGGACTAGGAAGGCATGTGGTGTGCCCTCAGTGAAGGCCTGAGGCAGAGAATGCAGCTGTGCAGAAGCCTGGGGCAGGGGATGCAGCCGTGCAGAAAGGCTGTGTGCAGGACAGAGCATGTGGTTGGTGTTGGAGGAGCCTGGAGGAGGTGCAGGAGGGTGGAGAAGCGGAGGCGGCGTGGGGCACCAGTGGGCTGCTGAGAGGATTAGCACTGGACTGTGACCCTGAAGGAAGCAGGAAGTGGTTGCTTCTAACATCACTGTGAAGTGACTAGGTTTCTTCTGTAGGGCCCAGGACAAGGGCTGAGGAGAGTGAATAGGATCAGGTCACAGTCGAAGCCAGAGCGGTCCCAGTGGTTTTGAAATGTGGTCCTTGGTGATGCTCTCTCCCAGTGGGACAGGCACATGTGGGTGCCGAGCATGACTTGGGGTCCAGTCAGGGCCATCAGGAGAGGGGAACTCGCAGTGTGTTTTGGAGCCAGTGACTTGAGGTGCCGGGTCTGAATAGACTGTGCTTCAAAAAGAAACTCACGGCCCCTGGGGTGATGGCAGGTGGACCCCAAGGGCTGAGGTTACAGCCTGTGCAGTGAAGCTGTGTCTTCTACCTCAGGGCCTTTGCACAGGCCGTGGCCTCAGCTCAGGGCCCAGGTCCAGCCACCACAGGCTACATTCAGGGAGCATCCCCACATCTGCCTGCTCCATGCCAGCAGCTCCCCCAGTTGTTACAGCTGCACATGCCCCCAGATGTCTTTCAAGCCTCCCTGAAGATGGATCATCTTCAGTGAGCACCATGGTTCAGAGGTGGTACCCACAGCGGGCTGTGGCAGCCATGGACTCAAAGGACGGAGAGGGAATGAGGCAGCGTCTCTGAGGGCCAGGGGCCACAGGAGTCCAGGCCTCATGTCCCGGCTTCTGTGGGACTGAGTGACTCAAGGCTCAGGTTGGTGTTGACTGGGCTTCTGTCTGTCCCTACTGGCGGTGACCTCAGTGTCACGGGAATGTCACCGACTCTGATCTGCACCCTGCTGGGGTACCACCCTGCACTCAGGGAGCTTTTGGCTGGAAAATTCCTCCAGCTCATGGTTGCCCAGCCCCACAGGCTTACTTGGGGCCCAGCATGCACCACCTGGCATGACATCATGGCAGCTGAGTGTCTGAGCAGGAGGGAGATACGGAAGGGCTAGCCTGGGCTGGGGCTGAGTTGACAGTGTCCATCAGACACACAGGAAGGCATGGGCTCCCATGTGTGGTAGAATGTGGAGGCAGGAGGGTTAGAACTTCAAGGTCATCCTCGGCTACTTAGTAAGCTTGAAGTCAGCCTGGGCTACATGAGACCCTGTCTAAAGTGGGGGGTGGGGGTGGAGAGGTGGCTCAGTGGTTAAAGCCCCGCTGTTCTTGCATAGGACCCCGGTTCAGTTTCCAGCACCCACATGGCTCAGAACTGTCTAACTGCAGTTCCCTGGGTCCTGTGCACTCTGCTGGTCTCCGCAGGCACCACACACACACACACACACACACACACGCGCGCGCACCACACACACACGCACCACACACACACACACGCACACACACACACATGCACACGCACGCACGCACATACCAGACACACACACACACACATCACACACACACCACACACACACCACACACACCACACACACACACACACCACACACACACACACCACACACACACGCACACGCAACACACACGCACACACGCACACACACACACACACACACACACACACACACGCACAGACCAGACACACACATCACACACACACCACACACACGCACCACACACACACACACACGCACCACACACACACACACACACACACACACACACACACAGACCAGACATACATACATACACACACACACACCACACACACGCACCACACACACACACACACACACACACACACACAGTGTGCACAGGAATACACCTGCACACCCGGGGTAAAAGTTGAACAGGTGAGCATGAAGAAGGGCTGTGAAGGACAAGGAGGTTGGCATGGGACGAGGTGATTTTGGAAGGACACACCAGGAGGTAGGATGTATCTAGGTGATGTGGCTGTGGTGACAGCAGATAAGTGGGTCACTGGGACCCTCTGGTGCCGAGATGCAGATGCACAGCCTCAAATGTGAGGTTCGGGCAGGGGTGGGGCACAGATCGTGGCCCTGTGTATGGGTGGGGCATGTGAGGGCTAGCCTGGGCAATGGTAGATCTCCTGGCAGCCTTAGACTAGGAAAATAGAACAGGACAGCCAGCTGTCTCCCTGACGCTGTCCCAGTCCATGTCAGATGTACCCTAGCAAAAGCCTGATCTCTGGTAGGGTTTGGAAGCGGCCGCAGGCCCGGTACTCAGCAGGCCTCAGGGTAACAGAACCTGGTTCTGTTTGTTGGTGGTGGATTTGCTCTTGAGACGGGGGTCTCACTCTGTAGCCCATACTGGCGCAGAACTCACAGAGATCGTCCTGCCTCTGCCTCCGGAGTGCTGGGACTAAAGGTGTGCGTTGCCATGCCTGGTTGCCCAATGGAAGACTGGTTCTGATTCTGGTGACCCAGCATGATCTAGGAGGTTATGGCCACTTACCATGTGCCACACCTGCTGTAAGTTAGGGAGACTCCTTCCTGGCTGTTTCCCGGAAGCACTAGCTGGCCCCGCTGGCTGCCCCTTAGGCTGGGCACTGGCTGTGACTGTCCTTCCCTTGGCTTCAGAGCTGCTGGTCCTGTCCCGCCTCCCTCACCTCTGCTCTCCTTCCTGCAGATGAGTTTAAGTGCCCCATCAAGGAGGAGGTTGCGCTGACCAGTGGCGAGTGGGAGGTCTTGTCAAGGCATGGCTCCAAGGTACTGGTCTTCCGCCCTTCTGTGGCTGGCTCCGCCCTCCCCCCACCAGGGGCCTCAGGACACCAATACTCTCAGCATGGAGGTCCATGTGGGGGAGGCCTGGCCCATCCCCGTGCTGCCCTGGAGCCCTGCAGCTCCCTCCCTCTCCCCAGGACAGCAGTTCTGTGACTGAGTGCTGAGGGCCAGCCAGCCTCTACCCACTCCTTTCCGGGAGCTCCCAAGTATGGTGGCCGAAGTGTCCAGATAAGCCACCCAGGGTACCCTGAGCAAAGAGCCAGATTTCAATTTTTTAAATTTGCTTTGTGTTTTCTAATTTTTATTCATTTTTTGTTAACTTTGCAATGCAAGGCATAGCACCAGGGTCCTCTGAGTGTTAGGCAAGTTCCCACTGGGCTCTGCGCCAGCCACACACACTCGGAGACGCTCTGAGGGCCCCTCCTGGTGGGACCACGTTCCCACCTGTGTTGCTACAGACAGGACTTCTCCATGTGGCTTTGAACCTTTTACTCTGGAGTTAAGGAAAGCATGAGGCTGAAACATTTTCAGAGTCCCAGCAGAGTGTTGTCTGTGGGGCTGTCATCCCAACACTCAGGAGCCAAGGAGAGGGAAACCTTCAGATTTAGGCTAGCCTGGGCTACACGGCAAGCCTCAACCTCAAAATCAAGCAAACAAACAGACATCCTTTTATTTTTTGAGAAAAGGCTGGCCTTGAACTCACTATGTAGTAGAGGGTGACCTCGAACTCCTGATCCTCCCGTGTTGGGTGACAGGCATGCTGTACTGTGCCCAGGCATGCTGTACTGTGGTGTTGCGGATGGAGCCAGGGCCTTGTGCCTGCTGGGGGAGCTCTCAGCCCCACAGCACTGTGTCACTTATGCTCTGCCCTCAGTCTATCGGGTTGCAGGGCTGCTGTTGTCCAGGGTGGGGAGGGGGCAGCGGGCGAGGGGGTGGTCCCTGATTGCCGTCCCTGGGACAAGGGGCTAGGGCAGAAAGTGTAGCCAGGCATGGCTGGTCACAGAAGCCCCCATTGCCCGCAGATCTGGGTCAACGAGCAGACAAAGCTGGTGTACTTCCAAGGCACAAAGGACACGCCCCTGGAACACCACCTTTACGTGGTCAGCTACGAGTCGGCTGGCGAGATCGTGAGGCTCACCACACCCGGCTTCTCCCACAGCTGCTCCATGAGTCAGGTGGGCATGACACTCCCCTGCCCACCCCTGCCTCCCTGGGCCTGGGAGGTTGACCCCTGTCCATCGAGGATGAGGCCTGGGTCCCTGGCCCGGGACTGGTCCTCACTGGGCTGCTTCCTCATCCTCAGAGTGGTGGTGATGGCCGGTGGGTGGGTGGGTGGGTGGGGTTGTGCGCGTCTGCTCTGTGCACTGAGTGCCATCCTGCTGCCAGCAGAACTTCGACATGTTTGTGAGTCACTACAGCAGCGTGAGCACACCGCCCTGCGTGCACGTGTACAAGCTGAGCGGCCCTGACGATGACCCGCTGCACAAGCAGCCACGCTTCTGGGCCAGCATGATGGAGGCAGCCAGTGAGTAGTGCACCTCAGGGAACTGGCCCAGCAGCCGGGGGAAGCAGAGGTAGACAGCCGAGGCTCCCAGTGACAGGTGCACAGAGAAGAGTTCACACTCTCACAACAAGCGAGGTTCCCCGTGTCTCTGGCATGGCTGCAGATGCAGGTGCAGGTGCCTGGCAGCCACCCTAGCACCCTGGGGTAACCTCTGTGACAGTACCTCGGAAAGCAGATGTTTGGAAGCTGTAGTTTTGGCAGGGAGCTCAGGGTCACTCACCAGAGGCCTCAGAAAGAGATAATGTTCCGAGAAACTGCCTCAAAGCTCGAGGTCCACCATGACTCTGCTTGAGTAACTTTGAGTTCCAGTTTCTGCACACGAGGGGCATGCCTTGGAAAAACCTCGAATAGTGGCTGGGGCTCAAGAGCAGAGTGCTAGCATGCCTGAAACCCCAGTTCCATCCCCAGAAACCAAGTTTGGTAGGGCACACTGTCATCCCAGCACTCAGGAGGCAGAGGCAGGACTATAAGTCTGGGTCCAAGCCAGCCTGGGCTACATAAAGAGATGGTGTCTCAGGAAAGCAAGGCCTTGGCCTCACCACAGCAGGTGACCAGTGTGGCTGTGTGCCCGTCCTTGGGAAACAGGAAACCCAAGGGCAGCCATGGTCAGGGTGACTGCGTCCCTCTGAGGCCAGCTCAGGCTTCTGCCATACTCTTCCCACAGTGACCACGCAGATGGAGGGACCCTATGGGGATGGGCAAGTTTCCGGCCGTGCCAGGGGCTTTGATGTCCCCCATGGCACCCCCCACACAGCTCCCCCAAAATCGTCTTCCAGCAGAAGCAGTGGGGGTGGGTGAGGTCCACAGGCCTGGCTTGGGGTGGGCACAGCCCTGCTGGCCGCTCTCAATGCCCTTGTCACCGCAGACTGCCCCCCGGACTACGTGCCTCCCGAGATCTTCCACTTCCACACCCGTGCCGACGTGCAGCTGTACGGCATGATCTACAAGCCGCACACCCTACAGCCAGGGAAGAAGCACCCCACTGTGCTCTTCGTCTATGGGGGCCCTCAGGTGGGTGCACCCCGGCCCAGACCCGTCCCCCGCCACCCCTGCGGCTCTCACCACCCGCCTGCCTCACCTGCAGGTGCAGCTGGTGAACAACTCCTTCAAGGGCATCAAGTACCTGCGGCTGAACACGCTGGCATCCCTGGGCTATGCCGTGGTGGTGATTGATGGCCGGGGCTCCTGTCAACGGGGCCTGCGATTTGAGGGGGCCCTGAAAAACCAGATGGTGAGTCCTGGTCCTGCAGTGTGGCCTTCGGGAACAAGTGGGTCCTGGAAACCCAGGTGCCCTCCACTCCTCCCAGGCCTGAGCATGCGGCTGGCGATTGGAGAGTGGCCGAGACACAGCCTGATGCTGTGAGGGCGCCTCAGTCCACAGGAACCCAAGGGTGGGTCTGATGGGCATGGCAGAGGAAGGGAACCAATAGGGTGGTGGGGACACTGGTGTTGAGGGCGGTGATGGTGGGGATGGGGGTGGTGGGGATGGGGGTGGTGGGGATGGGGGTGGTGGGGATGCTGATGGTGGTGGGGATGCTGATGGTGGTGGGGATGCTGATGGTGGTGGTGATGCTGATAGTGGTGGTGATGCTGATGGTGGTGGGGATGACGATGGTGGTTATGGTGATGGTGGGGATGATGGGGTTGATGGTGGGGATGGTAGTGATGGAGATGGTGGTGATGATGGAGGATGATGATGGTAGTGACGGGGGCGATGGGGGTGATGGTGGTGGTGCCATCAGGAGCAGCTTCAGCAGTCTGGGCAGACACTTCTAGAGTACTACTTTGAGTCTAAGAGGAGCAGCTTCTCACTCTCCCTAGCGACAGGGTGATGGGGTGTGGGGTCCTGGTCGCCACCCAGTGGAAGTCACAGAGCGCTGGGTTTCCACAGGGCCAGGTGGAGATTGAGGACCAGGTGGAAGGCTTGCAGTACGTGGCCGAGAAGTATGGCTTCATCGACCTCAGCCGCGTCGCCATCCACGGCTGGTCCTACGGTGGCTTCCTCTCGCTCATGGGGCTCATCCACAAGCCACAGGTGTTCAAGGTGGGTCTCACTCCTGGCTAGCTGCCTGCAGCCCGATGCCCACCTGCCCTTGACCCATCCTGACCCCGGAGCCCCAACCTGGAGCAAGCACCTTGGCAGGGGCCCTGCCACCTGGCTATCTCTCCCCGCAGCCGCCCCACGAGGCCGAGTCCCCCTCCTCATTGCCCGCCACCACCGACCCCAGGATGGCATCCGCCAGCAGCTCTATGTGGGAGGCCAAGCCCGGGACCCCCGCCTCGGAGGGGCAGAGGTGGGGCATGCTGTGAGGAGCAGCAGGGGGGCGCAGGCCCCGGGACTGGCAGGGCACTGCGGGGCGGCGGCCATGAGGAGGCGGAGGAGGCAGGAAGGTGGGACGGGCCCTCCCTCCATACCCTGCGTGTCCCAGAGCAGCTCAAGGCCCACGGGGACACGTCTGAGGGCCCCCTGCCAGCCACCACCCTCGTGCATGAGCTGCCTGGCCCTTCGCTGAGGCTCACAGTCCCGGTCAAGGCCAGGCCCCAGATCCCGACGCCTTTCTCCTCTCTCTCCCTGCCCGATCCGTTCCCTGTGTCTTCCAGGTAGCCATTGCGGGTGCTCCCGTCACCGTGTGGATGGCCTACGACACAGGGTACACAGAACGGTACATGGATGTCCCTGAAAACAACCAGCGAGGCTATGAGGCAGGGTCTGTGGCCCTGCACGTGGAGAAGCTGCCCAACGAGTAAGCCGCCCGCCCACGCACCGCCCGCCACCCACCTGCTCCCCACCGCCCGCCGCCCACGCACCGCCCGCCACCCACCTGCTCCCCACTGCCCGCCGCCCACGCACCGCCCGCCACCCACCTGCTCCCCACTGCCCGCCGCCCACCTGCTCCCCACTGCCCGCCACCCACCTGCCCACGCACCGCCCGCCACCCACCTGCTCCCCACTGCCCGCCGCCCACCCGCCCACGCACCGCCCGCCACCCACCTGCCCACGCACCGCCCGCCACCCACCTGCTCCCCACTGCCCGCCGCCCACCTGCTCCCCACTGCCCGCCACCCACCTGCTCCCCACTGCCCGCCACCCACCTACCCACGCACCGCCCGCCACCCACCTGCTCCCCACTGCCCGCCGCCCACCCGCCCACGCACCGCCCGCCACCCACCTGCCCACGCACCGCCCGCCACCCACCTGCTCCCCACTGCCCGCCGCCCACCGCCCACGCACCGCCCGCCACCCACCTGCCCACGCACCGCCCGCCACCCACCTGCTCCCCACTGCCCGCCACCCACCGCCCACGCACAGCCTGCCACCCACCTGCTCCCCGCACCGCCCGCCACCCACCTGCCCCCGGCACCGCCCGCCACCCACCTGCCCACGCACCGCCCGCCACCCACCTGCCCCCCGCACCGCCCGCCACCCACCTGCTCCCCGCACCATTTGCCACCCACCTGCCCACGCACCACCCGCCACCCACCTGCTGCCCGCACCGTTTGCCACCCACCTGCCCATGCACCGCCCGCCACCCACCTGCTCCCGCACCGCCCGCCACCCACCCGCCCACACACTGCCCGCCACCCACCTGCCCACGCACCATCTGCCACCCAGCACCCACCCTTCCCTGCATGGGTCTCCTGGTGCCTCCCGCCAGCTGTCCTGCCTCCTGGAGTGTCGGACACCGACCTGGAGGTGCAGGACCGTGGGGATCAGGGCACCCCGCCTCCCTGAAGCTCTTGCCCACACAATTCAAGTAGCCCTGTGAGCTCGTGTCCAGCCTTGTACAGCCCATCTGGACCTGAACTCCTCATGTCGCACGGGCATGGACAATGTCCACACACGGTCACTTGCCAGGTGACAGTGTCAGAGGGTCAGGTGCTGGTCCCAGTGCAATGTGGCGAGGTGTCTCCGCCTCCTGGAATCCCCACCATTGCCTGCACCCCCTACAAGGCTCCTGCAGTCCTGCTCACTGCACTGAGCTATGGAAGCAGAGCGGAGGCTGCCAGGGCCCAGACATCACTGTTGCTGGGATGGCCCTTTCTCTGAAGGATGGAATGTTCTAGAACTAGAGATCTAATGGGTATACAACATCATAAAGCCACAAAGACACCAAATGCCGCTCTGTCATTCGCGGGAACTATTAGCGCTGCGCAAATTTGGTGTATAAAGTTGAAATAAAATAGCTGGACCTGGGCCCCGTGGTAGAGCATGTGGCCAGCATGCAGGAGGTCCTGGGCCCCGTGGTAGAGCATGTGGCCAGCATGCAGGAGGCCCTGGGCCCCGTGGTAGAGCATGTGGCCAGCATGCAGGAGGCCCTGGGCCCCGTGGTAGGGCATGTGGCCAGCATGCAGGAGGCCCTGGGCCCCGTGGTAGGGCATGTGGCCAGCATGCAGGAGGCCCTGGGCCCCGTGGTAGGGCATGTGGCCAGCATGCAGGAGGCCCTGGGCCCCAGCCCAGCAGTGCAGATCCCAGGCGTAGCAGCACATGCCTGTCATCCCAGCACTCAAGGAGGTCATCCTTAGCTACATGGTCAGTTCAGGGCCAGCCTGGGCTACATGAGACCCGGTCTCTAAAATAAATAAATCTGTTATAAAAGAGAAAACTCACCTTCTGGTCACTCCTACCACTTTTGATATTCTGAGAGCCACAGGTGTCTGCTGGCCAGTGTATAATGTCAGTGGCGGTCATAGTGAGAATCGCTTCCAGAACATTCCATCATGCCAGAATGCCTGGGAATGGGGCTACTTTAGACAGCCCTTTCCCTCCACGTCTGCCTTGCCTGCTGCACTGGGGCTGGGGAGAGACTCTGAGCCCATGGGTACCACCCCCGGCCCCCCCCAGAGAGGCCTTACCCCCTCCCCTGTCTCCTCCAGGCCTAACCGCCTGCTCATCCTCCATGGCTTCCTGGACGAGAATGTCCACTTTTTCCACACAAACTTCCTCGTGTCCCAGCTGATCCGGGCAGGGAAGCCATACCAGCTCCAGGTGAGTATTTGGGGTGAAGTCCCAGGCTCCACCCTCCACTCCCGTCTACTTCAGGGTCCTGTGTTCAGTCACATCTTTATTGGCCAGCCTGAGCCAACAACCGCCACATCCCAGGTCCTCAGTGATTATACCAGAGACCCCTGCTTTGAAGAATCCGCTTGGCTAGAGGCATGGGGGGAGACCCCAGAGGACCCCTGAGGGAGGGAACACTTAATCCCCAGACCCTGGGTCAGCCTTGGGAGTGAGGGTGGTGGGGGGCCTGCTGGGCAGAGCCTTGATGCCGGGGGTAGGGCTTGCTGCAGAGGTGGGCTTCTGCAGTGAGGTGGGAGTGGACCTCAGGGGTGCCTCTGCCTAGAGGATATCCTGTTGAAATGCGGGGGAGACTCAGGGTGGCACTCGCCACACAGGAGAGGGGGCAGGCTCCCTCTCCTCAGGAGGTGTGTCCTCAGACTGAGAGGAGAAGAGGCCAGTGGGCTTTCCCGCGTTCCCAGCATCACCTGTGGGTGGCGGCTGTGGATCTGAGGAAGAGACCCCTACTCCGGACATGGTGACGCAGTAGTCACCAACGCCTCTGCCCTGTGTGGCGAGCTGTGCGCCTGAGCCCTGACCTGCAGAGCAGGGTCCCGGGGTGGGCCTGTCTGCAGCCCTGCCTGATTTGCAGATCTACCCCAACGAGAGACACAGCATCCGCTGCCCCGAGTCCGGGGAGCACTACGAGGTGACATTGCTGCACTTCCTGCAAGAGCACCTGTGACCTGTGACCTCCGACCTCTGCCCTGATGCCGCCGCTGCTTTTCTTGCGTATTTGTAATCTTTTAGTTTTTGAAGCTTTCGATTTGTTTGCTTGCTGCTGCTTGGGGCCCAGGACAGAGGCAGTGGCGGCCCCCATGCTGCCCTCCTTGGGCTGGTTAGGAGAAGACCAACACCGGGCCCACAGCCGCCATGGGGGATGCCACAGCCCCATACTTGCAGCACCATCCCAGCTCAGAAGCATGTGCCGCCCCGCCGACCCCCGCTGCAGAGTCGTGTGTGTTTGGGGAGCATTTTAAATAATTATTTAAAAAATAGGAAGCAAGCGGTACCGAAATGTAAAATTGGAGGTACGGCACTGGGCGGCTGGGGACACCACGCCCTCCTGACGCCCAGACTATGTGGAGCTGCCAAGCCCGTGTCCGGGGCGTCCTCTGTCCTGCCTGTCTCTGCCCAGTTCCTCCTCATGCACCACCCGGGGGTGCCAGGGTCGGGAGTAGGACCCATCCTGACCTCAGGGTTGTATCCCTTCCCTGCCCCCCTCCCACCAGAGTTTGGGCATAAAGAAGTAAAAAAAAAAAAAAAAAGGAAAAAGAAAAGAAAAAAAAACAAAACAAACAGAAACCACCTCTACATATTATGGAAAGAAAATATTTTTGTCAATTCTTATTCTTTTATAATTATGTGGTATGTAGACTCATTAAACGATTCCAGATGGAAATGGTGCTGTAAGGCTCCTTCTCAAGCTGTGTTGGCCTGAGGGATTGGGGGGTGTGTGTGTGCTGGGCTGGGAGGGAGGTATGAGACACATGGACACGGGACCAGGACGGGGGTGGGGGGTGTCACTGGGGTACATTAAAGATGCCCCACATGGGCTTCATCCCAGCCCTTGGAAGGTGGAGGCCATAGGGTCAGGAGTTCAAGGTCATCCTTGGGTACTTGAAACCCTGTCTCAGAAACATTTCTTTTTTTTTTTTTTTTTTTTTTTTTTTGGTTTTTCGAGACAGGGTTTCTCTGTGTAGCTTTGTGCCTTTCCTGGAATTCACTTGGTAGCCCAGGCTGGCCTCGAACTCACAGAGATCCGCCGGCCTCTGCCTCCCGAGTGCTGGGATTAAAGGCGTGCGCCACCACCGCCCGGCCAGAAACATTTCTTAATCATTGAAATTATTCTTTAAAGATGTGTTATTTTTAATTATGTGTGTATTTGCATGTGTGTGTGTCAGTGGGTATGGGCACGTGAGTATGGATGTCTCCATAAGCCAGAGGAGTTGGATTCCCATGGAGCTGGGTGTGAGCCTCACCCACAGTGAGGGTGTGTGGAACTAAATTTGAGGCCTCTGGAAGAGCAGCCTGCTCCTAACTGTGAGCTGTCTTCTCCAGCCTTCCAAGTACTGAAATTATGAAGGCCGGTCATGATGGCCGTCCTAGCACTCGGGAGGCAGAGGCAGACAGATCTGTGAGTTTGAGGCCAGCCTGGTCTACAGAGTAAGATCCAGGGCAGGCACCAAAACTACACAGAGAAACTCTGTCCGGAAAAACCAAAACAACAACAACAAGACCCCAAGTTCTAGCCCAGGACAGCTAAGCAACACAAAAGTGAAAGAATCCACTGTCCCCTGCATCGGGACATCCTTCTTCAGCGCAGGACACTGTCAAGACAAGGCCTGTCTGGCCAGGGGGGAGTGGGAGCAGGCAAGTGTGTCTGTCCTAATAACACCTTTAGGGGCTGGTAAGCAAATGGCCACTTCAGGCCATAAACCTTCAGTTCAGCCACAGACCATAGAACTGGGGCTGTGTCTCAGAGGCTAGGACAATCACCCAGCACACAAGACCCCCGGGGTTCCATTCCCAGCACCAGTGAAACCTGTCATCCCAGCACTGGGGAGGTGGAGGCAGGAGAATCAGGAGTTCAAAGCCATCCTTCCCTTCAAATGGAGTTGGAGGCTAGCCTGGGATCAATGAGCCATCTGAAAAATATAATAAAAATATTTATTTTTACTCTGTGTGGAGGACTATCTTGCCTGCATGTACATGTCTGTACACCACATGCATGCCTGCTGCCTGCAGAGACCAGAAGAGGGCGTCGGGTCCCCTGGAACTGAGTTACAAGAGGTTGTGAGCCACCATGTGGGTGCTGGAACTCAAACTTGGGTCTTCTGCAAGAGCAGCCAGTGCCCTTAATTGCTGAGCCATCTCTCCAGACTCCACAATAAAATATTCTTAAATGAAATTTAAACGATAAACTAAAGTAAGTTACAAAACGAAAAGCAATCAAAATTTTTAAAAATTAAAAGTGAAGCCATATTAAAGATAATTTAACAAAATAAAACCGCCATGCTGCCCGAAAGATGGAGACCTAGCGTCCATTTAAACGAGACATAAATCTAAATATACCGGAATACCTTTTTCACCCTAATTACAATTGATGTCAGGCATTTTGATTTGGGGAACCCGGACTGAAACGGGGGTGGGGGGTGGGTAGGGAGGTGGGGGAAAGCAAAATATGGTAACTCTGACCCCTGCAGCGCAGAGACGAATCAGCGGGCGCCAATCAGAGGCGCTGTCACGCCTCACGTGCCAAGACGTGCCCCGCCCCAACATGGCGGCCTGAGCGTCACTGTATCGCGCCGACGTGTCCCGCGCCGGCCGCTCCACGTGTCCCTCGCCGCGCCCCGTCCGCGGGCGCCTGCGCATTGGCCCGGAACCAAGATGGCGGCGCCCAGAGGAGCCTTCTGGACCGCCCTGCTCCTGGCGGCCGAGACGCTGACGTTGGCGGCCGCTGTGTCCGAGCCCACTACCGTGCCGTTTGACGTGAGGCCCGGAGGCGTCGTACATTCCTTCTCCCAGGACGTAGGACCCGGGGTAAGTGCTGAGCCTCCCTCAGGGGCATCGACGGCTGGAGACTGCCGGTGTTGGGCGGAGCCAGACCAGGGAGCGGGGTCATCGCGGAAACCGGGTCAGAATGTCAGGGGCGGGGCTACCTGAAGACTGTCAGTTCAGAGGGGGCGTGGCTGCCACCTTATCAATCACTTCCCCTTGTCCATCACGTTCTAGAGAAGGGAACGCTGTCTGATGGGGGCGGTGGGTCTCCGGATCCTGCGCTATGTAGGTCCCGCGAGGGTTGAGCTCGGACCAGAGAGGACGCACCCCAGGCCTCACACGGGTCTGGCCACTCTCCTTTCATGGCCGTGAAGCCAGCGGTCAGCCTAATTGCAGGCTCCCCAACTTCCCTGTGACAACTGTCCCTGGTGACCTTTCCTGAGAACATTCTTACAGCCCAGGGCTTCCTGGCAGGCCTGTGTTGCAGGCAGGAAGGAGCAAAGGCTTGTGCGTGTCAGGGGCTCCCAGGTACCGAACCCAAAGCCAGTATTCTAAAGGAGTGGCTGCTGAAGGCCATGTGACCTTCCCAGGAAACCCCGGGGATTGTGCGAAGTTCTGTGCTCCTGGGAGGAAAGGAGTCAGATGGCCACTGGAGGGCGTCCTAGAGCCTTTCTTTTCCTTTTATATGGTACTGGGATGGAACCTAGAGTCTCACACAGGCAAGTGTCTACCCCAGCTCCAGCCCCTCACTGGAAATTCTAGGCAGAGACTCCACCCCTGACCACGCCCCCAACTGGGTAATTCTAGTCGGGGCTCCACCCTGACCACGCCCCCAACCCCTCACTGGGGGAATTCTAGGCGGGGCTCCACCCTGACCACGCCCCCAGCCCCTCACTGGGGGATTCTGGGCGGGGCTCCACCCTGACCACGCCCCCAGCTATCACTGGGGGGATTCTAGGCGGGGCTCCACCCTGACCACGCCCCCAGCCCCCTCACGGGGGATTCTAGGCGGGGCTCCACCCTGACCACGCCCCCAGCCCCCTCACTGGGGATTCTAGGCGGGGCTCCACCCTGACCACGCCCCCAGCCCCTCACTGGGGATTCTAGGCGGGGCTCCACCCTGACCACGCCCCCAGCCCCTCACTGGGGATTCTAGGCGGGGCTCCACCCTGACCACGCCCCCAGCCCCTCACTAGGGGATTCTGGGCGGGGCTCTACCTTGACCACGCCCCCAGCCCCTCCCTGGGGGGTTCTAGGTAGAGACTCCACTCCCTGACCACGCCCCATGCCCCTCACTGGGAATCTAGGCAGGAGTTCTGTTGTTGATGTAAGTCACCAAGGCTGGCATTGATCTTGCAGTTTCCTGCCTCGGCTTCCTTGGTTACTGTTAAACCTGAGGACAAAACATTTTCACAACTGTCTGATTAAAGCAAGCTGTATTTAGAAGTCCACAAGGGACTGACTGGCCAGACGATTGCCTCCCCCTGAGTCGGGGTTTCCGAGAGCGGCCCCTCACCGGCTTTTGAGGTCCTTTTTATGGGGAAGGGTTAGGGTTGATAGAAAACAGCTGTGAGATAACTGGGGGGACTCAGGGATCAAGGTAGATCAGTACAGGAACACATCACGTGGAAGGGGAGTTGTCACAGGCGTGCAGGAGTTTAGCAAGGCAAAGGGGTGGGTATACATCATGGGGTCCCAAGGTCAGCATAGGTTGAAAAGCATGGTTTCCAGGGTACAGGCTTAGGAAACGGACACTTATGCCTGTAAGGCATGAAGACTTAGTAACAGTGCAGGACAGTGTGGCCCCTGTTCTGATTTCACCAGTACCTGAGATGGTAGGCATGCAGCGCCACACCCCGTGTGCTGGGGTCTTGATTCTGGACATCGAGACGCTGGTCCTTCAGCCTTCTTCTGTTTTCTCTTTTCTAGGGCAAGTTTACATGCACATTCACATACGCTTCCCAGGGAGGGACCAACGAGGTGAGTAGTCAGGTCTCACGCAGCTGGTGTTGAGACGTGGCCAGGCTGGTAGGTGCCTCTTGCACTTGTGGGCAGGGTCTTGCCACTCAGCACAGAGAAGAAGGTGTAGACTCAGTGCGTTTTCTTTTTGGTTTTTGGGAAAGACTTACTTTTTGAATGTGCATGGGTATTTTGCCTGCATAGTATCTGTGTACCACCTATGTGCTTGGTGCCTGTGGAAGCCAGAAGATGGTGACACAGCCCCTGGGCCTGGAGGTACAAACAGTTGTAAGCTTCCTTGTGAGTGCTGGAAGAGCAGCCAGTGCCCTTATCCTCGGAGCCACCTCCCTAGTTCCTTGTCGTTTTGAGACAGGCTTACACTGCAGCCCAGAACAACCAGGCTTCCTGTGTTTTCCAGGCTGACCTCAGACTTTGGGCAATCCCCCTGCCTCCATCTCTCAGGTGCTTGGGTGACAGACTTGAGCCGCCATGTCTGTCAAGATTCTCTTCACTCCACGCTACAAGCGTCGAGACAGGGAAGGGGGTGGTTTGTCAATCCTCCATTCATGGTGCCCCTCACTCAGGATGTTGCCATCAATGAGAGTGGGCTTGATATGTCACAGATGTGTAGTTCAGAGTCCAGGATGACCCCTCGTGCTGTGTGAAGGAGTGGTCAAGGCATCCCCACTGCATCCACTCACTAGGCAGGACTCCTGTCCCTATCCCTGTGGGTGAGTCCAGTTACCACAGCAGGAGGCTGGAGGCTGGTTGCTGTCTGGCTGTGCACTCTGCTGGGGGGATGGTGGAAGCCAGTGGTACTCACGGCTGGACTGGAGCTGCCCACCCCACCCCCAGCAAGGACTTCAGGTAGCTCAGCTTCATGGCTGAAGGCACTGAATTCTCAGTCACAGGAGCCTGAAAGGACCCCGAGATGCCTTGGCTCTCGCCTCACGGAGCCAGTGACCCACAGTGCCAGTCCCTGATTATTGATCCCTGTGTGGTCAGTGAGCCTCTGTGGTTCTTACTGGTCAATGTGTTCATGATTTTTGACAGGATCTCATCATGTAGCCTTTGCTCTGCCTGCCTCAGCGTCCTGAGTGCTCAGATGACAGTGTCACTCTTGGGCAGAGGGACCTTTGTTATCTCAAAGTGGTCAGTGCCTCAGGAGGCTTGCCTGAACAGCCAGCCTAGGACAGTCCTCAGGGCAGCCTGTGAGCTGGCAAGGGGTTGAACCCCCAGCAAGACCATTCCCCTGCAGTAGAAGGCAGACGGTACAGCAGCATAGGGAGCATTAAGGCCAGCTGCCATGAAGTGAGATGCCTGCCCACCATGGGAGCAACCTGTCCCTCTCCCCGACCTGCTTCTCCAGAGGAAATGTTGGTCTCTACGGAACCTTGCACATTAGTGTTCTGAGCAGAGCCTCCGATGGGGCCAGTGAATGGAAGTGACTCGATATCCTTGGATGGATGTACATGCACAGCACAGCACCTTGATGGGCAGGAATACGTGCTCTTGTGCACAGTGTTGTGTACGGTCTGGAGAGTGATCGCAGCCTTGCTTGTGGTGTGGAATGAGTGGGTTGAGTATGTACATAGCAAGCAGAAAAGAAGAAAAGAAAAAAATGGAGAGACTGTGGACTGCCAAACATCTTCAGCCAGGCTCACGGGCAGCAGAAGCCAGCATGCAGTTCCCTCAGAGGCCAGAAGGGGGCGTCTGATCCCCAGGACCAGTTATGGATGGTTGTGAGCTGCCATGTGGGTGCTGGAAATGGAATCCAGGTCCTCTGCAAGAGCAGCCAGTGCTCTAACCACTGAGTTGTCTCTGCAGACCTTTAGTTAGTAAGAAACCAGCTGTGGATGCAAGATGGCAGTCAGCTGGACCCAAGTAGCGAGCCCCCAAGACAAGTCTCCAGCTTCTTTTCCCCACTGTAGGAAGGGCTTTTAAATACATAATTTTTAAGCATGTGTATATAGTTAGTGTGTGAGTGTGTACACATGGGTGTGTTGCCCACTGAGATTTCCTGGAGCTGGAGTTACAAGTGGTTGTGGACCACCATGTGGGTGCTGGGAACTGGACCCAGGTGTCCTAGTCAGGGTTTCTATTGCTGCAATAAAACACCATGACCGACCCAAAGTTGGAGACAAAAGGGTTAATTCAGCTAACACTTCCACATTGCTGTTCCTCACTGAAGGAAGTCAGGACAGGAACTCAAGCAGGGCAGGAACCTGGAGGCAGGAGCTGATGCAGACACAATGGAGGGTGCTGCTTACTGGCTTGCTCCCCATGGCTTGCACAGCCTGTTTTGTTTTAGAACCCAGGACCAGCAGCCTAGGGATGGCACCACCCACAGTGGGCTGGAGCTTCCCCATCAATCACTAATTAAGAAAATGCCCTAAGCTGGATGGTGGTAGTGCACACCTTTAATCCCAACACTCAGGAGGCAGAGCCAGGCAGATCTCCATGAGTTCGAGGCCAGCCTGGTCTACAGAGTTCCAGGAAAGGCACCAAAACTATACAGAGAAACCCTGTCTTAAGAAAACCAAAAAAAAAAGAAAAGAAAAGAAAGAAAGAAAGAAAAAAGAAAATGCCCTGTAGGCTTGTCTGCAGCTAGATCTCATGGAGACGTTTTCTCAGCTGAGGCTCCCTCCTCTCTGGTCACTCCAGCTTGTGTCAAGTTGACATGAAACCAGGCAGGACAGCAGGGCCTCAGGAGAGGGTCTGCTGCCCACTGCTCAACAGGCTGGGCTGTTCTGTAGCCACTGCTGCCGGTTATAGGGTGGGGCCAGCCCTCTCCCAAGCAAGACCTCGGAGACACACTGATCCCACTCCAGAGCCAGCTTCTCATCGAGCTCACGGAACATGTGACAGTGACAATTTCAGTTAGCAGGAGCATGGCCCCAACACCTGATACAGCTGAGAGGGACCTCTACAAACACTGTGCTCAGTGAGAGACCCCGGCACAGAAGCCACAGTCTGGGACTCCATTGCAGGAAGTGTCCGGGACAGGGCAACCCAGAGACAGGAAGTGGGTACTCTGGGGTGGGAGGGAATCAGGGAAGGTTTAGCATGGGTCTTCCTTTTTCACTGAGAGTGTCTGGATGCGTGATAGTAGCGATGGCTGCACTGTGTGACTAGACCTCACGGACTTAGTGTTTTAACGTGAGTGGTCCCAGGAAAGAAACATTTCCACTTTATTTTGCCAGCAGTTTTGGGGTTGACTGTGCCTGAGCTTAAATGGATATAAGAGGAGCCAATAGCAGTCAGGGTGGCAACACTCTGCAGGCTGAGGCAAGAGGGTCAAGGGTTCATGGTCGTTGTCAGCTTTACAGAGAATTCAAGAACAGCCTGGGCTACAGGAGACTGACCCTGCTTCTAACAGAAAAGCAAGATGTGGAGCCTCTTAGCAGCATTTCTCAGATGGGTTGTTTGCAGGGCCCAGAAGCTCTGGAGCAGCCTGGGAGTTCAGGATTAGCCTGTCTGTGGAGCCGCAGGAACCACCCAGAACCAGCAGCCTCTCCTTGGCATGAGAGTAGTTGGGTCTCACAGCTTAGCTTTCCAGCAAAATGAACCTGAGTGGCTGCAGGGTCCCCTTGTAATTGACATAAACGTGGGTGTCCCGGCAATGGAAAACCTCTCTGTAAAGCCCGGAAGGGCAGCAGTGGGGCCTGCAGCCAGGGCTGGGGTGAGAACTGTTTGGTTGGGTTTTGTTTTTGTGTTTTAAAATTAGTTATTTTATGTGTATGGTGTTTTACATGCATGAATGTCTATGCACCAGCTGAATATCTAGTGTGTTGGAGACCAAAAAAAGGGCATCAGGTCCCCTGTAACTGGAGTTACAGATGGCTGTGAGCCACCGTGTGGGTCCTAGGAACAAAGCCTGTGTCCTCTGGAAGAGCAGCCCATGCTCTTAGTTCGGAGCTGTCTCTCAGTCCTGGCTGCTCTGGGTTGTTGTTTGAGACAGGGTCTCATGTTGTAGTGCAGAATTTACACCATAGCCCAGGCTGGCCTCAGACTCAAAGAGATATCTGCCTCTGCCTCCTGAGTGCTGGGAAGAGAGGCACGCACCACTATGCCCATATTGCTTTTGGTTTTTCCAGAGAGGGTCTTTTGTAGCCGAGGCTGGCTTCCTATGTAGCTTAGGCTATCTCCTGATTGTCCTGAGTGTTACTGTGACAGACATGCTCCACTGTGCCCTGTTTCTGGGGTTGGAACCAGGGCTCCATGCTAAGACACTGACCCACAGTCCCCAACCCTTGTCTGCTGTTTAGACAGGGTCTCACTGTGGCCAAGCTGGGAGCCATTCTCAAGATGTCGTCCCTTAGGGAAGAAAGTGACATGGGCAATGTCTTGATCCACCAGAGGACAGTGGCTGTGGCTCTACTGTGGGACACACAGCCTGGGGGGGACTGTGTGTCATCCTTGTAGAGAGGCTGGTCACCTGTCTTTGCTCACCAAGCCTGTCTTCTCTCCCCAGCAATGGCAGATGAGCCTGGGGACGAGCGAAGACAGTCAGCACTTCACTTGTACCATCTGGAGGTGAGCCGCAGCCACAGAGAATGCACCGGACTGGGGGTGGGGGTCACTGCGGCTACTGCGCAGGCATTTTCTGTGGAGAACAGACTTGCTGGTGGCCCTGCGGCCAGGGAGGCTGCCAGTGTGTGTGTTAACACCAAAGCATGGGCAGGGAGGGAGGAAGATGGCAGAGGGCAGGGCAGGGGCTGGGGAGTGGGTCACAGGGCAGGGCTGGGGAGTGGGTCACAGGGCAGGGCAGGGGCTGGGGAGTGGGGTCACAGGGCAGGGCTGGGGAGTGGGTCACAGGGCAGGGCAGGGGCTGGGGAGTGGGTCACAGGGCAGGGCAGGGGCTGGGGAGTGGGGTCACAGGGCAGGACTGGGGAGTGGGGTCACAGGGCAGGGCTGGGGAGTGGGTCACAGGGCAGGGGCTGGGGAGTGGGGTCACAGGGCAGGGCTGGGGAGTGGGTCACAGGGCAGGAAGTCATCAAAGTGCTTTTGCACATTTTACAAATTGAGGTAGAGTCCTGCCTTCTGGGGAGTACAGTCGGCTGCTGTTCCTCATGTTCACCAGCTCTGGGGAGGCAGAGGCAAGGGGATCAGGAGCTCAAGCTAGCCTTGGCCAGGTTGGGCTACCAGACACCCCATCTTTTTTTTTTTTGGTTTTTTGGACAGGGTTTCTCTGTGTAGCTTTGCGCCTTTCCTGGAACTCACTTGGTAGCCCAGGCTGGTCTCGAACTCACAGAGATCTGCCTGCCTCTGCCTCCCGAGTGCTGGGATTAAAGGGGTGCGCCACCACTACCCCCTCCTTAAAACCTAGTTTTAAGGCAAACCCCAAGAGGTAGCTCTGTCTCCAGGAGCTGTCACCCCCACCCCTTCATCCCTGGCACCCGGAAATCCCTGCCACGGAGTCTCACGTCACCAGGCTCCTCCCAGGGCCCTGACTGGTCCCCTCAGTGCTAACTATGTCTCCCGACAGGCCCCAGGGCAAGTCCTACCTCTACTTCACACAGTTCAAGGCCGAGGTGCGGGGTGCTGAGATCGAGTATGCCATGGCCTACGTGAGTACCAGTCTTAGGGACCCAAGGACGGGAGGGGTCTGCAGGGCCCCAGATAGCATTCACGGCGAGGGACTCAGCCACCCTGCTGATCCCCAGGGCTCCCACCTGAGTTGGGGACCTCAGGAGGAGGCTCACAGTGGGGAATGTAGCCCATCCCTCTACATAGACCCGCTTCCCCCCAGGAGGCCAGAACAGTGGGGAGCTTGGCAGCAGAGGCTGCGGCCCCGAGGCCCACACCTGTTCCTCAAGTCAGCCAATGACAGGTTCTACCCTCCGAGCACCAGAGCCGAATAGCAGCCTCCTCAGGTGTGCTATTGGGAGCTGTCTGTCACCTGTGAGCTGACCCCTGCCTGGGATCCACGCTGAGAACACCACACACCCGCTCCAGCAAGCATGCCTGGCCTTAGGCCACAGTGCTCAGAGCCAAACCTAGGGGACTGGAAGGGACTTACTTCTCTCTCGATGTGTGTCTACCGAAGTGCCCTGTTCTCTTTTAGTCCAAAGCTGCATTTGAGAGAGAGAGCGATGTCCCCCTTAAAAACGAGGAATTTGAAGTGACCAAGACAGCAGGTAGGTGAACATGGGACCCCGCAGGTAGAAGGCAGGCCAGCACCTGGCAAGAACCGTTTGCAGAGAGGTGGCCAAGGGCCTCACGACCATGCACTGCAGACCAGAAACTGTCTTGAGAGCAGGCGCCAGGCTAAAGAGAAGCTGCTTGCAGGCTGGACCCTGTGCTGCAGCTGCTGCCGTCTGTTTAGCTGGCAGGCAGCACCCAATTACCCGACCTGGTCACTTCCTATGCCGTGTGAGCGGAGAGACCATGCAGAGCTCAGAGCTAGAGGATTAAGGGCCCCAGAGTAGCTTTGCTACACTGTGGCGACCTGGTGAGGGGGACACTTCCTGGTGGGGAAGGGGCCTCAGTCCTCAAAAGAGCTATTCCAGGCTCCACTGGGGATTCTAGGCAGACTCCACTCTGACCACGCCCCCAGCCCCTCACTGGGGGATTCTGGGCGGGGCTACGCCCTGGTCACGCCCCCAGCCCCTCACTGTGGGATTCTAGGCGAGCTCCGCCCTGACCACGCCCCCAGCCCTCTTTGTAATTTCCCAGTCTCCCTGAGTTTCCCAGGCTGGCCTGGGTCTTCTCCACCTCTTTTAGTATCCAGAGTAGTATCAGCATACTTGGCTCTGCAGTTTTCCTTTCATGCCTGCCCTGCCATCCCTCCCCTCTGCCGGCACTGCCCGGCTCTCAGCCTCTCCTGAGGCATCCTGTCAGGGCCATCTCTGCTTTTGTCTTGCAGTGTCTCATAGGCCTGGGGCCTTCAAGTCTGAGCTCTCCAAGTTGGTGATCGTAGCCAAGGCGGCCCGCTCGGAGCTGTGACTCTCCCCTGTCCTGGCTGTGACGTCCTCCTCAGGCTCACGGCCCCAACTGCGTGTCTGGCACACTGGTTCCCACAGGAGCTGGTGCTGCCCTGTTTACAGCTCACACTCCGGCACTCTGCTGGACTCAGCCCTGTCACCCATCTCACCAGGGAAGGTACAGGACATGCTGGGTGGGACCTAGGGGCCTCCTGGCGTTCCTGAAGTCAGGTGTGGTTTCTCCTCTGAGCCACAGATGAGCATCCCCATCCCCGGGACTGTTTCTTACCCCACCCAAGGCACCTCCATTCAAAAGGAGAGGAAGAGACGCAACAAATAAATAAAGAACTAACCACCCCAGCTGGGGCTCTGTGGGGTCAGGACTCAGACTCGGACTCCCACCACCTTCCACAGTAGCAGCAGCAGGCGCAGGCATGTGGCTTCTCCCAAGACTGACTGTCACACAGGGCCAGCATGGCGGGTCCCAAGGCAGCCAGTGACTTTATATCCACGGAAGGACTAGTCACTCTCTCCTGAATTGCCTTGAATCCATCCTGCCCCTGGCAGAAGGATCCCAGGGTGAGGCCACCGTCCCCACAGATTCCAGCTTCAGGTGGGCTTTTGAAGTCAGATGGAGGCTAGATGTCGGTAGATTTATTTTGTGCTTCTGTCTGTGAGTCTGTGCCTTTTGTGTGCCCGTGGAGGCCGGAAGAAGGCATCAGATCCCCTGGAGCTGGAGTCACAGGTGGTTGTGAGCTGCCTGTGGGTGCTGGGAGTTGAACCTGGGTCCTCTGCAAGAGCAGCCGGTGCTCTGTTGAGCTGCCTTCACAGCTCCAGTATGAAATCTTTAAACTCAAACTAAAAACAACCTGCAGCCAAAGTGACCTACGTGAGCCCTAGTGTCTCAGGCTTTCAGAGGGCCCACCGCCCCTCAGACCTCTGGCCAAACATGATGTGAGGGGCCGGGCCGCCAGACAGGCCTGTGCCTCACACAGACCTTGGGGTGCTGCAGCTGTTTGGGGAATAGTGCCCCATAGCAAGGGCTAGCACCTTCCTGCTGCCCCAGGCGTCAAGGAGGGGACCTCTGGTAAAGGCAAGAGAAGCTCTGAGTGGGAGGCTAGCCTGGGCTACATAGCGAGTTCCAGAACAGCTGAGACTGCACAGTGGGACCCTGCCTCAATAAAGGGGAGCTGTCCTTTAAGTGGAACCTGAGGACATCTCATGCTGCGTGTGCCCTGGGAAGGACACAGCCATCAGCATCCTCTTAGGGGCCTGAGGCTCCAGGGGCTCCAGTACCTGGGTGTAGGTGGCATAGTCCTAGCCTCACGCCCCTAGGTTAGAAAGGTCACAGGATGCGGTGATGGCACTGGCTACCTGGCTCCTCCTGCGTGCCTTTGATAGTCCCCAGCTGTCACAAGGAAACAGTGGATAGAACTGGGTGCTGGGACACAGTGGCCCTTTAATATTTAATCTTATATTTCTGGGGGAAATTTTTGTGCTAGGAATGATCCTAATGCCTCAAGCACAGGAGGCCAGTGAGGCCCCAGCCACGTTGAGACCCTCCAATCATCTTACTGGAAGCTACAGCCACCAGCCTGTGACAAGCCAAGGGAACTCAGTGGAACCTGGGGGGTGTCTATCCCCAACCTGTCATCCCTGGGCTGGGCAGGGGAGGGGCCTCTGACATTTGTGTGGATGTCTTAGTCTGTCTGTGGGTGCCAGAGAGCCAAGGAGCACAGCACAGGTCACAGGACTGCTTGTGGGACCTGGCTCTCCTCCATGTGGCCACCAGCATAGACAGACTCTGGACGTCAGGCTTGGCAGCAAGCTTCTCTACCCTCTGACCCAAGTCACCAGCCCCACAACAGCTTTAAAGATTTTTCCCTCCCAGGCCTGGAAGCATAGGCCTGTGAACCTAAGCATTCAAGCAGCTGAGGCAGGAGGATTGTGAAGTCCAGGCACCCTGAGAATCTAAACCTAAAAAGGAAATAAGGCTGGCTTGGTGGCAGAGCTGATGTACAGCACACACAGGCCCAGTGACACACAGTAATAAAGTGACGTGTCCCTCGCGTGTCTCGTCCCTTTCTCATCTCGCCCGTGTGAACACGGCCCCCAGACGTTTTATTCCCCTCATTGGTCTATTTGGTCAGCGTGAGGGTTTCATCTGGGGACAGCAGCGTGCATATTGGTGTCCCAGTTTTAAGATCTGGCCCAGGGCCTAGAGTGAGACAAGTGCCCAGTGGAGCTGGAATGTCAAGAAAGGCTTCAAGGACCTGACAGGAGCGATGACTGCAGCCGGGCAGTGTGGGGCTCAGGCTGCGATGCTGAGGCAGGAGGATTATGAATTCCAGGCTACAGGAAAAGATACTGTTTTTAAAACAAAGATAATCTATGGCTGTTGGTGGGATCTTCTGTGTAAGTGTTGGCTGCTGTCTGCATACTCTGAAACACTAATAAAGCCTCTATTACTCCCCAGGCCCCACAGGCTACAGGGTGTAAACTTTGCCCCACATACACGCAGCTCTGGATGTTCTGTGGCCTCCCCAACACCCCAGATAACCTTCCCGCCTGCAGCATTGCACAACCGCTGTGTCAGCCACGATGTGCAGATGCAGGGCCTTCACTGGTTTCAGGGGTCTTCCCCACTGTGTGCGCGTGCTAGACTGGCCACGCCCCCACCCCCTCACTTGGTGATTCTAGGCGGGGCTCCACCCTGGCCACGCCCCCCAGCCCCTCACTGGGGGATTCTAGGCGGGGCTCCACCCTGGCCACGCCCCCAGCCCCCTCACTGGGGGTTCTGGGCGGGACTCCACCCTGACCACGCCCCAGCCCCTTACTGTGCACAAATGTCACTGAAGCCTCCCCACTTTTCCAAGGATAAAAGTTCTTGTAGTGACCATAAGGTTAAGCCAGGTATGACATCATGCTCCCCGCATGCGCGGTCAATGTTGGTTACAAGCCCTGGCCGCCATACAAAGAGAAAAGATGGGTTTGTTTCCCAAATACAGCATTATAATTTAACACAGACACGTGCCCCCAGTGGCTCTGCCCTGCTGAACCTGGGGACAGCCTCTGAGGTCCCCAGGCTCCTCCCTCCCCGTGAGGACTCCAGCTTTCCCACCACATCAGTGGCTCCTTGCTGCGTGGTGACACGGCTGGGCCACGTGGAGGTCAGAGGCCAACTTGTCAAAACTGGTTCTCTGCTTCCACTGTGTGGGTTTTGGGGATCAAACTCCAGTCATCAGGCTTGGGGACGAGTGCCCCAACGCGCTAAGACGCCTCACCGGCTGCTGCTTCCTTTTCTTAGATGCCAGGGCGCAGTCTCCAGACGGGGTCTCTTCCAGATCCCAACACGTCCCAGCCACCGTGGCAGGCTGGGACCGCTTCAGCGCTAGTCTGGTGCCAGGGCTTGAACTCCACTAATAAAGCGAGTCACCTTGGGAGGCCCTGAGAGTCAGGAAATGAACATAGACATTTGGCAGGGGGCAGGGCTCGGGGAGTACAATTCTTTACTCCCAATTCTCCACGACCTTGTCTGAGATAATGACAGCACCCAACAGTGAGGTGGTGGAGCACACCCGTCACCCCAGCACTCGGGAGGTGTTAGCAGGAGCAGCGGCAGGGGTTCAAGGCCAGCCTCGGCTACACAGTTTGGGGTCAGCCTGGGCTACATGACAGCGTCTCAGAAGTAGAAACGAGGAGCAGAAGTTGGGACGGGCGACGGTCACCAGGCCAGGTCAGATGCCGCCCTCGTCCAGCATCCTCCCAAGGCCATCGCAGATGCGGCGCAGGTGGCTCCGGTAGGGCTCCGCCGGGCCGTACAGCGCGGCCAGGAAGTCGCCGTTGGCAAAGTGGCCGAAGACGTGGTTGATGCGGCCGTGGGACTTGGCGGTGAGGTGCGGGCCGGTGGCCTGGTGCAGCAGGTCCCTGCACTCCAGCAGCCCCGCGGCCAGCACGCGCCGGTCGAAGGTGAAGTCCACCTGGTGGAAGCTGAGGGCGGTCATGGCCAGGCTGCGCACCCGGGCCCGGAACCGTCGCAGCTGCGCCAGCTCGTCGCCGTCCAGCTGACCCGCCCGGAGCAGCACGGCCAGCTTCACCGCCACCTTCACCAGGTTCTTCACCACCCTCTGCGCCTCCTTCCGGCTGCGGGTGAACTCCTTGGTGGCCTGGTACAGTTCGTCCAGGATCGCGCTGCTGGTGTCGTCCGCGAACACCGCCACCATGGCCTTGGAGGCCATCTTGCTGAGGACTTTCTTCTGGGCCTGCAGGGCCAGGCTCTTCGTGCTGAAGGTGTCCATGGGCCCTGCGGGGACGACAGACGCGGTGTTCAGGTCAAAGCAATGCACGTGGAATGGTAAAATCTGGGCGGGGCTCAGCACCATCCCTACTCCCTGCCAGCCAGCAGGCTCTTTCCCAGCTGGGAGTTGAGGCTCTGATGGTTGCCATCGATGTAAGAGCCGCCCAGAGGCCGAGCAGGCGCCAGCTCGTCTCACTCCCTGGTTCCAGCAGTTCAAGCAGTACCCAAAACCACTGAGAGTTCTCATGCCTCTTTCCTAATAAACTCCTACACATCCCTCAAAGCCCTATCCCCAAACCCTTGCCTTTTTTTCTTAACAAACTCCTACACACCTCCCAGTGCCCAGAACCTCCGACTCTCCTGTGCGGTACTCCCTCTGAGTCATACAGAGCTACATGGCTGCAACCTCCTGCCCCCTCACACCACAGAGGGAAGTCGGGGCTTGACCCCTCCTCTGCTGTGTTCTCGGGGACCCCTGGCCCCTCTGGGAGTGAGCAAACCCGGAATAGCCAAGGGACACACAGAGGCCGGGTTGAGACCTGGCCCTCGGGCCTCGCCCCAGGCCCTGGTCAGCCGTGCACCACCCACCCAGCCCGCTCATCCCCAGGCCCCCTATAAAGCCTGCCTTTGTGTGAGCCCAGACCCCAGGCAGCCCCCGCTCTCTCCATCCTCTCCTTGGCCTTAGCGGTCAAGGCTGGCTCCATGGCTTCCCTGCCCCCAGCGATCACCACCCCCGCCGTCCACCAGCCGGGGCCGGGACACGGCTGTTGACACAGAGCGCCCGCCATGTGAACCCATTTCGTCACTTCGGCCAACGCCATTCTGCAAAGAGCACAGCCGTCCTGAGTGGCCCAGGCGGGATGAATGCACAATGGTGGAATCTGTCCCCTCCAAGTCCCCTGTACCCGGGGGCCAGGCAGCAGGACAGGACGGTTGGCCCCAGTGGCCCCACAACTGAATGCTCCAGCCTCCTCCCTGGTGTCTGAGGGCACCACATACTCCAGACGCGGCACACCTGCCACCTCAGCGCTCGGAGGTGGAGGCAGGACGGTCAGAAGCTCAAGGTCAGCCTCAGCTACACGGGGGAGCTGGACCTACATAACCCTCTCCGAAAAACAGAGAAGAAAGAGAGAAAGAAGCTTTTTGTGCAGACCAACCAGAGGGACCTCCCCACCCCCCGGGGGCTGTTTCCTAATTGACACTGAACAAAGCGGGGCTCACGGAGAAACAAAGTCCGGAGTTCCTGTTGGCTTGGGGGCTGTGTGACGCCAAGGGGAGTGCTGACCCTCTCTGGGCCTTGCTTTTCCCCATGGACAAAGCCAAATTTGGACTCTGTGGCTCAGGAGTGAAGCTGAGAGTGTGGACGGACTTCCGGAAGACTAGCAGGGGCCGCCACCTGGGGCAGCCAGCTGCTGGCCTCCACTTCCTGTCCTGAAACCCATTGTCCTGACAGACCAGGATGGCTGCCATCCCAGGGGACAGGCCTTCCTGCCTAAGGGGCCTGTGTGCGGCCACGTGAGGCCTTCGGGCAGGGACTTTCCCAGGGACGAGGTGCTGTGGCCTTGGTCCCCGCCCACCCAGTGCCATAGCACCCAGCCAAACTCGGGAGCCAACAGCCCCCCCCCACCCTCCAGGACTCAGAGGCAACACTCATTCAGTCACTCAACTGCCTAATGGGTATTTATGAAGCACCAGCTGTGTACCCAACACCAGGGGCCCAGAAGTGACCCAAAGAGACCTTGCCTCTGCCTCCAGTTGCCTCCCAGCACCCCAGTTCTGCCATCTTCTAGTTATAACACGATTTGGGGACCATCTTGAGACTGGAGTTGAATTCACAGGCCACGTCACCCCCTCCATCCCTTAATTCATTTTTTTTCATGTATTTTTGCTTTTTTTTTTTTTTCTTTTTCCAGGCTGGGTCTCCTGTCACCCAGCCTGGCCTTTGACTCCTAATCCTCCTGCCTCAGCCTCCCCACCATGAGATGACAGGCATGCACCGACTGTGTCTGGCTGGAACCCTAAAATCACCCTGAAGAGGTCTCGTGAACCAGGGGGAGGAGGGAGACACCAGGAATCATTAAACGGAGGAAAAAGCAAAGATTGGGCCTGGAGGTCGGAAAGGCCAGAGCAAGGTCCCAGACCCCAGGACAGGAGGGACAGGTCAGAGAGGGGACAGTACGGGGAGGTGCTTGTACAAAGGCCCCACGGCAGAGCCACACTGGCCTTGGGCCCATTCAGGCCACCACAGCTCCTCACCCTGTGGGGACAACAGTCCCACATCCTCTCCTGGGCCCTGGACCACATCTTAGACTTGGCGGGTTTTTTAAGTTTTGGTTTTGTTTGAGACAAGGTCTCATTACTCATAGCCCAGGCTGGCCTCAAACTCACAGAGAGCCACCTGCCTCCACCTCCCAAGTGCTGGGGTTAAAGGTGTGCGCCACCGCCCGGCCCGCCTTAGACTTTTCATCTGCCGCCAAACCCTGCTTGAGTTTTGTCCTCTGAACCCCGTCAATCACTGCAGCTCCCCGCAACCCACAACAGCCCCTAATATTCCCTTGAGCCTCCGGCCACCTCAGGGGGCCTTGACTTACACAAGGTTGGGTTACATCTTGGACTCTCCCCGTGGGTGGGGACAGATGTGGCCCAGTGGCTGGCTCTGAACTCAGTGATCAATCGCAGCCTCTGCAGCAAGGCCGAGCCACCGGGGCCACCGGGGCCACCGGGCCTTTGCACAGCTGTTGTGGCTTCCGAGAGGCCTTTTCGAGCATAAAGGT